ATATATGTATGTATATATAGCCAACGGCTTTCAACTTTGCAAGTCGTGCACTCGGCATTTTCCTTGCTTCCATTTTCATTTGTTTTACTCATTTTTATTTGGCTTTTAACAAAAGACATCTTGTGGCCGTTGCCTGTCTCAAATTTCCTTTTTCATTTATGTTACGCATATTTCTGATAGCTAGAAATTATCTTGTTACCTGGATTGGAATTCAGCTTTGAGTGTGACACACAGTTAAATCAGTGCAGATTTATTTTAAGCTATTTCATTATATAGAATTTCAGGCTTGAAATTGCTTGTGTATTTTATACCCTGAACAGAAAGTGAAAACGGGTATATATGTTTTGTTAATGCGTTCGTTTATATGAAGAGACTTGCTGTCCTTCCCTTCACGCCACGCCCACTGCCTCTCCCACAAAGAGCATTAGATATATTTACTTCATTTACTTCCATAGTTTGAAAGTTACGCACAGTTTAAGAGTCAACAATTAAACAAGCAGACAATACAACTGTGTTCAGATGTTATTTCAGCTGTGAACAGAGTAGAGTATTGGGCAGTCGGTTGCTGCCGACAGCAGCCTTTTTTACTAGCTTCGCATTTGACATGCAATAAATAAAAGTCTGCATGTTTGATGCGACATAATAAAAAGTTTTTACATAAATACTCTTAACAGTATTATTTACCAAATTGAGTTTTCCCGTTTATGTTATGTTAGCTAACTTCCCCACCCGCTGCCCCCCACCCCGCCCGCTTCTTCACTCTGCACAGCTGTTTACATTGAAAAGTTGATCCATTGTCACATTTACTTGGTTTTTTTTTGTTGTTTTCTGCCCGTTCTGCTTCATCGCAGCGGCAAAATGCAAACGTACCAAACATTTTCTTAGTTCTTCGTTTGCTATATATATATATATATTACATATATACATATACACATATATATATATAAATATATATATATATTTTTTTTTGTTGCCTTTTTTGGTTTGTTTAATTGACTCGAAAACCAGTTTTATTTGTTTGCAAGCAAAAAGCAGCAACAAGCATTAAAAGCAAATATAAATTGTATGCGGCTCTGCTGCAGCGCTGCTGCTGCGCTGACGCTTGTGCCGTTCCGCTGTTTTTTTTTTGTTCGCCTTTTTCTTCCACACATACCGTCAAAGAGCGAGAGAAGCAGTTGGAACGCTTGTGCTGGTTTTTTGCTTATTTTTTTTTTGCTTATCATAAAGCGATTATTTTTGGGCTTGCAAAATAAAAGCATAAAAGTATAGAACTTTTACGCTATGGCATGTGAGAGTCTCCTCTCTGTCTCGCGCTGCTTGTGCATGAGTGTGCGTGTGAGTGTGTGTGTGTGTGTGTGTAAGTGCGTTGTGCTCAAGCTAGCGGAGCTTTAAACTCGTTATTGCCCGCTGCCGCTGTCGCAGCTGACGCCGACACCGACGCTGGCAACGCCGTAACTAAGCAGCTTCTTGTTGCTGTCTCGCTTGCTCTAGTCGTGTTTTCGGTTTAGTTCGGTCCATTGCGTTGATGCTTTTTTTTTGTTTTTTTTTGTGTTTTTGGTTTCTCTTTTTCAGTCTGCATTTAGTTTGCCTTATTTTGCTTTACGTTTTAATGTTGCTTTTAATTAGAAATTAGTTCTACTTCATTAAAATTGCTTGTGCTCGACGATGTGCAAATTGCCGTTGCTTGGCCATTTGTTGTGATTAATTAAAGGCAGCAAAAAACAAACATAAACAAAAACAAAAAACAAACCAAATTTCATTTGGTCTGCGCCTTTCATCTTAAAAAATTAGGTTCTGCTTTTTTTTAATACGTTTTTATGGCTGCACACACGTGCGTTAAATGCGTTTAGCATGCCTAATTTATGCAAATTTAATTGCCAGCAGACATTTTAACGATGTTGCAACATGCGCTCGACGCTGTTATTGTGACCAATGAGGGAGCAGGGGGCGGAAGGTCGATTATCCTCCCTGCAACATTGTCAAAAATTATAACCACAGCCTGATTTAATTATGCTAAAAAAAATTAAATATATTATGAACATTTTTTTGTACGTTCACAATTATGTATTACATAAATAATTAGGATTGGGACAAAAATAATTACATACTCATGCATACACTGCGCAAAATATCAGCTTAACTTAGAAATTAAACAGTTTGTTGTTTATCTAAACTATTTGGAAATAAGTGCGAAATTTTTTCTGGGTCGAGCTGAAAATAATGGAGGACGGTCGCAAGAATTTATAGAAATTAAAATTCACATTTTAAATTTCAAAATTTATATTTTAGAATCAAGTTTTCATTTGCCAGCGATCATTGTAATCACAGCTGAACACATACATACATACATATACACATATACACACACAGTTAAGTCATCTGCAATTTGGCAACGTTGCAATTTACCGCAAAGAATTAACGGTTAGTCCAAACATGTCAGCAATTAGAAAGTGCACAGTGATGCATGAAAATAAAGCACGATTAATGTATATCACGTATTTTTTAAAGTATGCCATTAATTTTTCAACTCATTTTTCACGAAACACATTTATTCTTTGTAACTGTTTATTTTTAACGAGCTTCTTAACTATCACAGAAGCTTGCACCAAAAAAACTGATAACTTCATTATTCAACTTTTTGAGGGGCCTGTCGTGTGACACACACACACGCCCACCTACACACATACACACACGTTCACACTTTGGCTTACTTCGGTGCTGGTTTAATTATAAACGTTTAAGTTTTAATCAATCATTTAAGAGCGAACCGGAATTCTACTCATTTCATTTAAAAATACTTTTATTTTCTCATTTTTGTTTTCTTTCTGTTGTGTAGGCCTTATTTATTGATAAATATTCTTGCTCTTATTTATAGGATTTCCTTTTGTTGTTGTTGTTGTTGCTGTTGCTGCTGCTCGTTAGCCCGTTCGTTTCATTTCCATACGTTTTATTTTCACGCACAGTGTCACAAAAGCGCACAACATGCCTTGCACATGGCGCAATACAATATTTCTAGCTTGTTCAGCAGCACTCAGCACACAGTGCGTGCAAATGTCGTGGCGAACGTCGACGTCAACGTCGCCGTTGCAAAGCGACGAAGAAGCAAGCAGCGCATACACCGAATATCTTCAATTGTTGTTGCTGTGCGCTATTTAAACACAGATTGTCGTTGTTGTTGTTTTTGGTTGGCTTTTTGACACTTGCACTGAATATATACATACATATATGTATATGCATACATATGCATACACAGACAGACTAAAACAGTTATACTTACAAGCATGTATCTATGTATTTATGTAAAAAACAATATAATGCTGGCTGCCAATTTTCGCTGCCTGCCCTTTTGTTTATTTACTTTTATTAGCCTTGCCCTGGCCGGCTGTTTAGTCACTTTGTTACGCACGACAAATGCTCGGCTTAATTTATGCTTGTTTTGCCGTCGGTCTTTTTACAGCTGCTCTAGCGTTCGTGATTGCCGCACACAGATAAATAATTATTGCGAACAAACTGTCGTTCGACTTACACGAACCGTTCACGTTCACGTTTTAGCAGAAACTGAAATGTTTCATTGCCAAGGCGTTGCGTTGTAGCCGTTTGTACACTGTAGCGGAACGCATGAACACGACGAAACGACTGCCTGACCGACCAACTGACTGACGACGGAGCATGTGCGACGTGACGACGGTGAGACATTTCGGCGAGACCAACGCTCCGAGTGTGGTGAACAATCAGGAGGCGCATGAGTGCGGGTGAGCGAGACTGTGTCTGTGTGTGTACGCGAGTGTGTGCGTGAATATGTATGTGTATTGCGCCATCGCCAGTTGGTGTGCATGTGTGTGTGCCACCACTTGTCTGTGTACATGTAGTTGTGCATATTTCGTTTGTTTACAGTTTTGCGTTGTTTTCTGTTGCTGTCGTTGTGTTGTTGTTGTCGTTGTGTTTTTTTCACTTGGTTTATGTTGTTTCATTCCATTTGATTGTTTTAAATTGAGATTTGTGTGCCAAAAGCGTCGCAGCGGTGGTTTGTCTATGTTGTTCTTGTTTTTGTTGTTGGTGTTGCTGTTGGATCCCAGGACACCGCATATGACTTTTGTGGCAGTTGTTGTTGTTTTTATATTGTTGCATTTACTGCATATGAACATTTTTTATAAATTGTAAGCCACAAGAAAACAATCAAAACAACAATTTCTGCATGCATAATTTTTACTGGACTACGTGTTGCTTATAATTTTCGGTTATTTCTATCTCTTGTTGTTTCCGTGTGACAGCTAATTGGATTATTTGCGCAAGGGGCGGGAGGGGGGTGGCGCGGTAATAGAGCAAAGTTTTTTGATTAGGTTTCAAGTTCCCCCAGCGCGCACACTGTACGTACATGTATACGTACACATACATATGTATGTATATATGTGTGTGCATTTAACCCATGGCAATCGCACATTTCACATGGGCGCTCATAAACAACGTATTAAGTTAATTAAGCTTCATCTAATTCAGTTACACATCTCACAAAGCGTAAAGTTATTACCGTTATTTGCCATGTGCTGCCATCAGAAATTCATTGCTGAAGTGTGGCAACGTTGCAAATTGCCCAAATTTGATTAAAAGTGAATGCGTGGATATCAATTGAAAGTTGATAATTTTGCAGTTTTTTTTACTAATTAATTAATATTCAAATAAAAGATTTGTATTTAAAAAAACTTAAATATATACATACAAGGAATAAACATTATAACATGCACTATTTATTAAACTCTTTTAGTTTTCATTGTAAAAAAACAGGATTTTTAACATTGTCTGTTGACTGTTGACCTCTACAAAGCAGAAACGTCAACAAAACCAATAAAAACTGGCAACGTTGCTTTTGTTTAAACGACTTTTACAAAAAAAAGAAATTTAAAAGAAAAACCAATCGTAACACAATTTAAAAAAAAAATTGAAATTGGGCAACTCTTTAAAATCAATAAAGTTATTTAAATAACTGCTACAACTTGACTTACCGTTATCAATCATTGTTTGAATAACCCACCAAAGGCCCACTTGTAACTGAAAATATGGAAGCTGTAAAGCTGTAAAAAATAAACAAAAATCTATTTATATTATTTTCCTACAAAACTGATGACGTCACAAACAAATTACAGCTACAACGTCCTTGGCAATGATGCGCTTCACTTCATTACATATACAAATATATATGTATATATATATATATAGGTGTGTGTATGTTCAGGTGCATGTATGTACATACATATATACATATACACAAGATAAGCTCTATTACCAGGCAGCACAGTGTATTCGTTACTATGTAACTTCCAACCGCAAATTGTGACACAAAATGCAACATTAATAAACGATAAATGTAATAGGCACACACACATACATAGACACACACACACGCACACACTGACGTACAATGCATGACGATAATAATAATAATAATATTTCTTTAATCAAACTACACAATTGATTGCATTATTGACAAGCCAAACGAACGATAAGCGAGGGCAGAAATATCAGTAGCGCACAGTGGTGCGATTCAATTGCAAAATGAAATCTAATGAGTTTTGCAATTGACTTAAAAAATAAATTAAAATTTTAGGCAAAACTGTTTTTAAAGTAAGAGCATATATTGTAAGATTATATAGATAGTATAGATAAAGTATGGATATATATATGGCTTTATATATTAATGTTGTATGGTTTAAACTAGATTTTTTTTGTAAAAAAAATACCTTGATATTATAACTATAAGTCAATACAAAACAAACAAAAAAATAAAGCAAAAAAAAAATTTTGTAATTGTCTTGACAATAAAATTAAAAATCATGGCTAAGCTGTTTTCAAAGTAAGAGTATATAGCTGGCTTTATGTGCTTTCAATTATTTTTATTTTTTATATTAAGATATCATATCATGTAAAAATAACTTGGTTTAATATATGTACATACATATATCAATAAAATTATAAACAAGAAACAATTAATTTTTTAAGGTGAACTGATCTAAATTTCAAGAAAATTATGATGAATGATGAAAAGAATTAACTATATATTTAGTTCAATTAATTTTATATGCCAATTTCATGTTACTTTTTAAAATTTTTAATGCAAAATTCCTCGATACTCTTATATTTTGAACTCCAATTTATACACATATGTATGTATTTAAACAAAATAAGCTTTTGAATGGCAACTGTTTTAATTAGGATAAATAATTTGCTCATGCAACTAGAACCAGTGTGCGCATACTTCTCAGCGCATCAAATTCGTTGTAGCAACAGCAACAAAGTAATACTAAATAAAATAAACAGAAAATAAAAACAGGAACCCAAGCTCACAGCAAGTTTTTATGTATTTATACAGTTAACTTAACTTTTTGTTTGTGCGTGTATGTATTTATGCGCATATGCATGTATGTATGTGTGACTGTATGTTTTTATTTACCGAAGGCAGATAAGTCTCCCCCGCAGCGTAACACATTAAAGACAACCTATATTTAGCTAATGCTCTCCTCCTCGATTCTCATGAATTCAAGTGAGTGTTGCACACTTTTTGCATGCTTTGATTACAACTGTGATATTAGCAACTGGGTATAGCAGTAAGTTATGTATATGTTTGTAAATATGTATGCATATATGTATGTACATATGTTTGTATATATGTATGCATGAGGATTTATATATACATGCCTTCAAATATACATATTTGTATGTACATATATACTTGTATTATGTTATCAAAAAGTGAAAAAAAAAAGAAAGGAAATATTGCAAGCAAAACCATAAATAGCTAAATAATGTGATAAGCGCACATTGAACGGCGCTCAGTTAGTTGCCATTGCCACATGGAGAGTCTGGCTGAGGTGCAGCAGCAGCCAAAGCCAACGCTGTAGCGGCAGCAGCAACCGCTGCAACAACAAGAAACGACAAGTGCAGTAGAGAAGGACGACGAACGCACCGTGCGATGCAAACGAATTCGATGCGAGGAGCGGCGACAAAACGCTTTGACTCTCCCATCTCCCATCTCCCATTCTACAGCGTTCTCGCTCTTTCTTTTGGTTCAGGCGAACGAACGACGGCAACGTCGACGTCGACGGCGTCGGCAGCCAGCATAACACAATTTATCGTTGTCAAAGTTATCGCACACTCACTCGACGATGTCGTCGTTCACGTTGAGGCAGTCGAATTGCCGGGGGCAGCGACGCGGTTGGGTCACAGCCTCGCACAGTGGATACGAAACAATGGAATACGATTGTTAATTCATTGAACACTTTTGTTTTGTAAAGTCTAAAAGAAATTAAATTCACGTAGTTCTAGAAAAACTCAGATTTCAGTCATCTGCACGTATTAAAAGAGATAAAACGTTCTTTGGAAACAATACTTTTATTTTAAGAAGAAAAAAATTAACTCTTCTCAACTCTTCTCATTAACTCAGCAATTTTTTAAATCGAGAATATAGCTTAGTTTCAATTTTTTTAATTTACTTTATTGAGCTACATGTTTTTCTATTAAAAGAATATGAAGTATACTAGTTTTGGCAATGTTCATATTATAATTATTTTTTACAGTTTTTTGCAAGATCACACCCACTGTGCATTGCTGGACTCTAACTTTACAATCATCGTCGCCCGTTTTGCGGTTGCTTTTGCAGCTTATTTCTAGTTGCTGCACTGTGCTGTGTGTGTGTGCGTGTGTGTGTGTAAGTGCATGCGTCCGCGTCTTTGTGCTGTGTCTGTGTTTGCTTTTGGTTTTACTTTTTGTTTTCGTTTAAAATTGAAAATGCGTGTAACGTGTGTTAATCGACTCGCCCGAATCACGGACTGCCCCAACTAACCCCAAGCAACTGTAGGCGTTACTTTTATTTTTTGCGATCATTTCAGCTCATATTTCCCAAGCACCGCTTGCCCCTAGCCCCCCCTTTGAGTAGTTGGCGTCGCTAGTTGAAATTATCATGAGCATTGCTCGCTTGTTGTTGCGGCTGCTGCTGTTGTTGTTGTTGTCAATTTGTTGAGATAATAAAAACTAACAGCTTGTAGTTTTATTTGTTAACAAAGCAACGGCAGCAGGTTCGTTGACCAGCTGGAGAGACATGCAGTGTCACGAACTGTTACAAGCACATATGAAAAAGGCATGAAAAACTAAAAATTTGATTGATTTGGCCATTGTTTAAAAAATTAAATACCTTTTTTTTGTGTTTAGCGAAAATAGGAATTTCGTATATTTATCAGAATGTGCCTAATTTAAACATGTTTGTGTATGTGTGTGCAACTATTTATTGCAGTTGCTGTTGTCGCGTCAAGGTCATCATCCATCTGTCTCTTTTGGCGTATCTGCGAGCAAATTGAAAACAAAACGCAGAGCAAAAGCTCTTCACTAATGGGGCGCTGCGACGCCGGCAGCGACTGTGACTGTGACAGATGCACTAGCGTGGATTAAAAATGTTCAAAAGACACGACAAAAGACAAACGGCACAAACAAAAGCAGTCGCGCAAACCAACCCAGACAGCATCAGCGGCAGCAAAAACAATGCCAGGAGCAGTAAGCTGCTGCTGCCGCTCCCCTCTACACACCCGCTCTCTTGCAGTCTAGCTCTCTTTCATTCGAGCCGTCTATGGCACACACAATGAAAATGAAATGGAACAGCGGTAAATAACGTTTGGTAAGCAAAAAGTTTTAAGTGAAATTATGTGCATAGATTGAATACTGACAGAGGTGAATATGGCAAAGCCAGCGCATATGTGTGCGTGTGTATGCATGTACACTGTGTGTGTGTGTCTTTATGCAAGTATTGATTGTCAGTCAGTTTGCATTATAATAAATTGGCCCTTGAGCATGCAATACCTGGTGTACAGTAATTAAATCAGCTGCTAGGTAAATACAGTGAGTCACAGCTTTAATGAACCAACGTGGAAATTGTTGATGATACAAATTAAGTGGTCCTCTATTTATTAATAGAAGTAAGTGCACCATTTTAAGCATTTATAAAAACAGATTTGCAGTCAGGCAGCAGCTATTTTGTATAGCATTTATTACCAGCAAAAAAATCGTTTATAGCGAGCTTGAACAGTAGTTGATGTTCTCTTATTAACAATTCAACCGTTGCATTTTTTTTAAGCGCGCACACTAATGTCCCTTTCGGGCGTCAATGAATGTCAGTGTGTCCATGATTCCATGATACTTCAGCAATTTTTTGTTTACCGTCGAGTGGAAACAGAATAAAGAGTCTGTTAATCTATTCTTCAAGTTATTTGAAATTAATTAAAAACGCGCATACACAAATTAAAATAATATGCCATGCTAAAATAAATACATCACAGTTTCTGACGCAGCATTAAAACTGTATTTGTTTCAACAAATGATAGCATAAAAGATAACAAAAAACAAGGCACGAAAAATATGTAAAGTAAATAAAATTCCAAAACAACGACGTCGACGTCGACGCATAAAATGCAAATGAATATGAGAGTACACAAGCAAAATAAAAAAAAAAATAAGAGCGGCTGTGTGGGAGAGCGCTAAGTGGGGCGACAACTGCGGTCTGAATGGGACAAACGGGAGATGGGAGGCACTGAGCATTGAGCGCGTACACACACACACATACACGACGACTGCTGCCGACGCAGTCAAATGTCATTTGTCGTTGCAGGCGCGCTCAGTTGGAGCTTTGAGCTAAAAACACACAAGCACGCACACATACGTATGTATGTTGTGACACACACACAGGCACACATTAATAGGCATGACACAGGAGTGAAGCTGGCGAAAAATGTTTGAAATTCAAGCAAGTTGAAATGTTTTGCATATAAATTCGTATTTTTAGTTTTGCGCTTCGCCCCGCACGAAAGCTACGGCAGCTGCGCTGCTTTTCATTCATGTTTCTTGTTGTTGTAGCTGCTGCTCTGCTTTTGTTTTCTTTTAGCGCTCTGGCCATTTGACTCTGGCGCTGCCGCTGCTGCCACTTTCGTTGTTGTTGCTGTTCTTATAAATTATGTACAAAATGTTGTTGATGTCATTTTGAAATGAAATGGAAAACTTTTGTCGAGGAGTAACTGAAAAACAAAACACTCATTTTATTTTTAAAATATATGTTGAATATATGACACACAAAGAATATAAACAACCAATTTTGCTCATACAATTTTAAAGCATTGCAAAAAGCTTTAATTTGCAACCGAAACTTAAAGCTTTAAACTTTTATGCAAGTTCAGTTACATGCCTACCTCTCCCCCTTACACTCAACGAAGATGCCAACTTTAACTCAACAGCAAAAATGAACTTGTGCAAAAGAATTGCAAGCGAAATTGAATGTGAAAGGGCGAGAATGCGAATGAGTGGAAAAAGCGGAGGGGGTGTCGTAACTTTTTTTTATTGGCAACAGCAAGCGTCGAGGCGCTGTGAAATATTAAGCAATAAAGCACAACAAAAAGTTTTCAACTTCAAAATGTAATGCATACACACACGCACACGTACATGTGTGAGTGTGTGTGTGTGTGTGTAGTGCTGCTGCAAATGTTAAAAATAGCAGTAGAAAAGGTAGCAGCAGCAGCGACGTCGACGCCGACGTCAACGTCAAGCGTCGTCATCGTTTCTTGTTATTGTGTGTGCTGTGCCAGCGCTTTTTCGCTGCTGTAATCAAAGCAGTGATGAGCGGAAGAGATAGCGAGGGGCGTGTGGGAGCTGATCATAGAGAAGAGAAATGTGAGGAGGTAGAGAGAAGAAGATGTAGGTGGTGCTGGCAGAAATATTGGCATAAAGCGTAGTAAGAAGCGTGGCCAAACATAAATTTATTTGTTTGCTTTTGCTGCTGCTTTATATTATTCGTTCTCTTAATACACTTGCCGAAGGGCCTTACGACTTTGTAACGAAGAATGTAACACGATGAAGAGGCATATCCGCGGGCCATTAAAGTATATTCTGGAGTATAGCTGAGTGGATAAATTAAGTATATTATATACAATTAATTTGTTTTTAAAGATTATTTATTAAGAAATTCCCTTATGTATGATAAACTATCTCATATAGCTCCGATAATTATGTACGACAAAATATTGAAATGCAATATAAAATAGAAATATTAAAATATCCTCCATTTATGTATGCACATAACTGCAAGAGAATTCAGTTGTCGGCTCTTTGAGTATATCAATTCTTTTATTTCTTTTGTTTAGTTTAACTTGATTTATGAGCCATGCATATACACAGACACACACACACACACACACACACACTAGACACTTTTAGGTATATGCATGCACACACATTTGCGCAGACACAGAGAAATCGAACTTTATTGATAGTCGCGCTGTAGCAATAAAAAGTGTGGTCGAAGGGTCGGCGTATGCTGCGGTGGGTGGGTGCGGTCGTTACAAGCGCAAGATGCCAACAGTTAAGTGTGTGCGTATGAGTGTGTGTGTGTCTATAGGCAAAATGTATGCCATGTTTATGTTTGGCACTTGTTTATGGCCAAGAAACTGGCAAAAGCAGACGACGAAACGAAACACATGACAAGAACAAAAACAAGAAAGAAGCAGAGCACAAAAGTCCTACGAAATTGAAGACAAAGTCAGCAATGCTTCGCTATAAGCCTTATCTCTTAACATCAAAGTTGCCGTAGAAAAAAGTCGTGGCAACTGGGGTAGGGTGTGGGGCATTCGTCAGATGTCACCAAAAAGGAGGTCAGCAAAGTTTTAGCTTCAGCTTCTAAAGTCCATTAAAGTGCAAAAAGCAAAAGCAAAGGCAGAAAAAAAGAAATAAACGCAACTAAAGCCTTTGACATCGTGTAATTTGCTAAGCGTCTAGAGCGAGATGGAAAGAGAGCGAGCGAAAGAGAGCGGAAGGGCGGCTAGAGAGTGGCAGCAGATGCGTCCATCAAAATGCCCAAAGAACATGCGACTGTTGTGCGACGAAAGGGGTGCGAGCGGGAGCACATAAAAAGACGCGCAAAATATATGTAAAACAAAAAAAAAGAGTTACGTGCCCAGAGTTGGAGCAGAGAGCGCGTGACTAGCAGGCAAATACAGGTAAAGAAAAAACAAGAGTGCTCTAGTCGAGCTTGATCAACGAGGAGATACCGCGTAACCAGCTCCAAGTGGCCGTAATATAAAATTCTTCGTAAATTAATGCGTACACAACTCACGCACACACAAATACACTCATACGAAAGCTGTGACATTGAGCCATTGCTGTGCTTCCTCTTTCCATTTACTCCACGTCGATGCTTCATGCTAAAAACTAGGTTTTTTTCATTTCAGCAAGGCGGAAGGACGTATTACTGGAACTTTGTTACCAATTTACAGGGTATTAGAAAAGCTATTCAAAGCACCAACAAAGCCAAAGAGCCACAGCCGCTCTTAAAAGATATAAGCACGCGGCAACTTAATGAGTGGACTTCCAGGAGGGAGAGGGGGGGGGGGGGTAGGCCAGTGAGGCTGGCACCTGCCAAAAAAGCAACAAGCAAATAAACACAAGTGCGCAAAGCCAAAAGCGTCGCATGCAAATAAAAATCGCAACAACAACAACAACAACAAAACAACAAAACGTGACGCTATAACAACAAAAGTAAACAAAGGCCCACAAAAACGGGTGAACGCCAAAGTCAAAATGTGCGCGCAATAAAATACTCGCACAATTGACGAAAAATAAAAGAATAGAAAAATAAAAATAAAATGATAACAAGAAGAGCGAGGACAGCAATAGTAGCAGCCGCAGCAGCAGAAGTAACAATAACAAGCGAACAGCTTTAAAACGTAGCTGCGAATGTTCGTTTCGCATGCCAAAATGTTTCACACAGCCAGCCAGCGGACCAGCCTAAGGGAGAGATAGAGAGAGAGATAGTGGGCGGGCAGACATGTTTCAATTCGCAAACGTTTTAACGCGCGCTTTGCCTGCCCCACATCAGTTCTTGCATTTTGTCTGTGTCCCACATCTTCGACTGCGCTTGAAGGCAGCGACCACGACGACGTACATATACCGTTAAGCGCAGCATGCATGTTTTTTCTCTGTAATGGCAACGACTTTGGCGCCCCTCTAAGCACAAAACAACTGTACGCCCCACAATCCCCATACCCCACACACCGCAGCCACCTGCTGGCAAAGCAAAAAGCAAACAGAGCAGCAAAGGAAGCGGACTGCTTGTTGCACAGTGCAACAGCACTTAGGATTTTTTAATTACGCGGTTTCATGCAAATTAGAGATGGGCGCAAGTTTAGGTTTTTTCGACAAGACAAAAGCACGAGACATACCTAGATTTTGTTTTCACTCATAAATTATAGTTTTAGATATATAAGGAGAGAAAATTTAAGACAATAAATGATTTTACATAGCAATAGTAGTTTAATGGAAATTAAACACTTTTAGACTTCTAACGCAATGAAAATTTAATTTCTAACTAATTAGTTTTTATTTCTTGAATTTTTAATTTTCGAGCGAGCACTGTATTTGTTAATTTCCCATTTTAGCAACTTTATGCTCATTCACACTTCACAATGGTTTATGGCAAGTTTTTAACAGCTGCATACCACTGTGCGCTGTTTCATTTCGCATAATGATACCTCTACTCATCCTCCCACTCTCTGTCTCATTCACACTCTAATGCTGAGACTACTCAACGCTTGCCTTATAATTATTGTCATTACGTCATAAGCATGCAAAACCGACGTCGCGACGTTGCCGAAAGCTGTGCACTGCAAGAAGCGCTCTCTCTTACACACACACATATATAATTCAAAAGGGCAGCGTTGCCGTCCTTTTTGATTTTGTTTTGATTTGCTTGGGATATTAATTTGGCGCGCGGTTTGCGTTCATTTTCTGCGTGGCCATTGCTGACTTTTTTCTTGTGCGCTTATTTTTAATGTGCATTTAAATGTTTGTTTTACGTAATAATTTGTTATTTTTATTGTTAGAACATGCAATGAATCGCTAATAGGGCAAAGGCGCCCAAGCGGCCGCAGTTGACATGCAAAAAGCTCAGGCAATTAACTTAACGTTCGAGAAGGCACGCGATAAAAGCAGTGCTTTTTTTTTTACCGCTCAAATGGAGCGTAAAATTGACAGAAAATAAAAATTACGAATTGTTGCAATTGAACTTGAATAAGATGTCAGTGAGCGGTAAATGCAAATCAAAAGCTCAAGTGGTGTGTGTGAGTGAATGTGTGTGACAGCTTTCCAATTAGAATGTGACTGTGTGTGTGTGTGAACAAACACACATTTACACAGATAAGTGTGAGTGGGAGCACTGATGCATTAAATAAAATTGATAAACTGCAATAAATACACGCAATTGATTGCATGTCACAAATACTCTCACTTTCTCACGAGTGGGGTGTATACACACGCACACATGTATATGCAAATGCATGCATGTGTGTGCGCCTCGGTAGCGGCGTCTGCAGCAACAACAACAACGCGGCCAACTAAACAGCTGAGCGTTGGCCAAAACGGCGGCACACGAACACACACAAACTCACAATAAAGGCACAGACAGCAGAGATTACATACGCACGGTCACACCGCGCTATTGGGCGTGTGCGCATGTATTTGTGCTTTTAGCTAAATTACAAAATATAAACAGACAAAACAGCTTACCGTTAGTTTTATGAGTGCAGCCAAGCTATATACAGTTATTCGTTTAATTTAGCGCAATTTAATTTCCAAGCGCAGCTCTAAAAAATCGCCACACCAATATTCGTAACACATTTTGCTTGCGCTATGTTCATTTAAACTTTGTTAATTTACAAACTGCATGTTTAAAAAGTTTTTTTTGTCACTAAAATGCCGCATTAACATATTTCTTTTATTTGCTGAAAATTCAAGCAGAACGCGTGCGTATCACACAACAACAAAAAGAGCACTGCGTTGAGTGTGACTGCACTGCACAAACCAAAAAATACTAAAGTATTCAAAAGAAAATACTGATTTTATGTAGAAAATGGCTTCAATTTGCTGGCGTTGGACAATCAGCTGTTTGTGCAGCGGCAGCCCTTTCCATGTTAATTACTAGAAGGTAAGGCTTCGCATCTCAACGAAAAGGAACGTTAGGTTTATAGGTTCACTGTGTCAGCATTGTATGTTTTAAAATGAGAGCAATATTATTTCTAATTAGATACATATAATAATGAAAAATAATGAAAATAATGAATTTTATTACTTTATGATACACGAACTGAGGAATTCTAATCTAGTTAAGCTCCACAGAAAATATACTAAAGCTTTGCTTGCCGATCGTAAGAATTTATTTGATTACATATACAATATATCCCTTAATATTTGCCTACTGGCTGAGCGTGTGACGTAATGTGCGGAAGGGAATGTCACACGTAACCTTGAAATCTTAACAGGTGGCAACGCTGTAGTTGTCACAAGTGATGTGTGTGTGTGTTTATGCGCGTATGTTGCAAAAAAATTTTTAATCAAATTAAAATTAGGAATATAAACCCAATTGGAACGCAACAAACGTGCTGGCCGCGTGCAGCTGCAACTAGTTAACCGTTATGGCCAATCGCACGCGCAACAACACGACCAAGGTCGAGGCGCTAATCGAGAGCTGCCGCAGCGAAGGCAAATGGCAGCGCGTCATCGAGCTGACGGACGAGCTGAAATCGGGATCACCGCATAACGGTAAAGCGTGGCCTTATTTCTAAAGTAAACCAGTACCTTTACCTCAATTTCCCCCTTCGACTGCTTTACAGAATGCCTGGCCAACTTTCTGATGGGCGAGGCGCGCCTCGAAAGCTATCTGGAGGAGCATGCGGTGGCCCCCGAAACGAACTTTGGCCGAGCCAAAAGCGGCCTCGCCGACGGCAGACGCTATCTAAATCTCGCTCTCGGCGAGAGCGGCCAAAAGGCGGGCATCGCCCTCGACGCCTACCTGCTGCTGGCCAAGCTGTGCTACGCCTGCGGCGAGTACGAGCAGAGTCTGGAGAACTTTGTCAGGGCGGAGCTCAATACGCTTGCTGAGAAGGAGCTGACCCTGTAAGTGGCTCAACCTACCAGATGTTAAGCGGCTTTGCCCGGCAATACTTGCACGCTTTACTTTACTAATATATATTTGTATATTCGAAAACAGTCGCAGCCTCAAGATTCTGGCCGAGTCGTATGCCATTAAGGGCCTGTGCCTGGAGCAGCAGGCCTCCAAGCCGACATCCAAATTCAAGAAGGCCGAAAAGGACACGGAAATGGTGCGTGTTGCTGCTTACTCAATTTATTAACTTATTGTTAACAAATACCACGTCAAATTTCTTGCAGATATGTTGCTTTGAGCGCGCCTCGGATCTGGGTCTGCTCTATCTGCAGGAACACGATATTGGTTGCGGCGGCAATAGCTCCTCGAACAATTCCACAGCCGGCTCCACGCTGAATGTGAACGCGGGCGTGCAGCAGTCGTCGAGCAGCTTTGCCATTAGCAGCAACCTGCAGAGCAGCAGTGCGACGCTGGAGGTGAGTCGACGCATGGGCGCCATACTGGAGACGGCGCTGCAGCGTGCGCCCATCGTGCTGATCAAGGCGGGCAAGCTGCAGGCGGCCGTGGAACGATATCGCATCATGTTGAATGCCATCGAGACGCGTGCAACGCAATCGTTGCGCTTAACCCTCGCCCGCCAGCTGGCCGAGGTGCTGTTGCGCGGCGTTTCGGGCACAATATATGCGCCTCCCTTTACCACCAAATCGGGCGGCAGTACTTTACGTGGCGGCGGCGCTGCCAAGCGCCTGTGGAAGCCGCGCAAATATGCGGCACGTCAGCAATTCACGCCGCGCAATCAACAGGAGGAGATCATTCTCTTACTGCTCATCGCTGAGGCTTTGGCCGTCCGGGACACTGTGCTCTCGCAGAGTCCGGAATTTCGGCAGGCGCGTCAGCATGCCATGGGCAATGTGACGGCTGTTTATGATCTGCTCACGCTGGCCACCATACGCTGGGGCCTGGTGCAGCTGCTCAACGAATCGTTCGAGAAGGCGCTCAAGTTTAGCTTCGGGGAGCAGCATGTCTGGCGACAGTACGGCCTCAGTTTGATGGCCGCAGAGAAGCATGCGCATGCACTGCGCGTAATGCAGGAGTCGATGAAGCTAACGCCAGGCGATCCGCTGCCCTGTTTGCATGCCTCACGCTTGTGCTACGAGAGCCTGGAGACCGTCAAGCAGGGCCTGGACTATGCACAGCAGGCGCTCAAGCGGGAGGTGAAGGGTGAGTGGAGCTCATCTCAATGGAGCCATATAATCTAGCTCTCTTTTGTTTCTTCTGCCAGGCCTGCGTCCCTCGCGCAGTCAGCTCTTTGTGGGCATTGGCTATCAGCAGCTGGCCATACAGTCAACTCTTAAGAGCGAACGCGATGCGTACAACAAACTGGCGCTGGAGTCTCTGGAGCGTGCCGTGCAGCATGATGGCAACGATCACCTGGCCGAATACTACTTATCCCTGCAATACGCCCTGCTCAATCAGCTGGGCGATGCACTGAGCCACATACGTTTCGCTCTGGCGCTGCGCATGGAGCATGCACCGTGTCTGCATCTGTTTGCCCTGCTGCTGACCGCATCGCGTCGTCCGCGTGAGGCGCTGGGCGTGGTTGAGGATGCACTGCACGAGTTTCCCGATAATCTGCAGTTGTTGCATGTTAAAGCACATCTGCAGCTGCATCTGGAGGATGCGGAGACGGCGTTGGCCACGGTACAGCATATGCTCGCCGTTTGGCGGGAAGTGTACGAGGCGCAGCTGGCCGCCGACGAGGAGAAGCATTCGGATACCAAGAGCGGTATCCATTTGGTGCATTCATCACAAATGTCTGACAAGGACTCAAGTAAGTTTGCTGTCGTGCGTTTGAGGCGCTTGCAGCTAGTTTAAAATCAACAGCAACAACAACACTTGACACTAATAATAACAATATATATTCTGTACAAAAACACACACACACACACACACATGCATACACATATATTATATATACATATATATATACATATATAAACATCTATTACATCTATGTAACTACCCAACTTCTGCGGAATGTGTCTGTCTAAAAAACCAATTCATAAAACCATACAAAATACTTGTAAGTCTCAATTGCAAATTTAACTCAAAGTTAACACAAACCTCGGCATGCACCGAAGTTTTTTATACTCTTGCAAACGTTATAGATTTTTAATTTCTAAGTGTGTAAGGCAAGCCGGAGTTTTTCTTAAAGGAAAATTGATTTACTTAAGTAAAAGTTTTCATATATTTTTATTTATCAAGAGTTGATATCAAATGCAAAAAATCTTATTTTAATAGAGATCTATTTTACCATATTGATTTTATAGAAATTGATATTCTATATATTAAATCGTGGGGTATAAAAAAAATGTAAGAAAAAGTGTGCTCAATTATATGAAAATTTATGGAAGACATAAACAGATTAAAGTTGGTTGAACATTTCTGATTAGTTCTGGAATTTACAAAATTTTATAAAGTTCATTAAACAATTGGAAATTTTATTCTTTATTATAAAAGAAACCAATTATATTAATAGAGCATCTGTTTGCAAGTGTGTAAAATGCTTTCTTTAATTTAAACTTATGCCTTGCGCTGCTTTCAAAACTTTTTTCTCTATTTCCCCCCGCTTCTCTTGTGGCTCTTCTACTTTATTTTCTATGCGTGCTTTTAACTGTTGCATCTTGTTGCATGAATCGCCTTAACTAATGCACTTTTTTTTTTGTATATTACAAACATTTTCTCTTCTTGATTTTATACTCTTCAACTCTAACCATCTTTCCCTAGTTTTCGTAGTTTCGTTTTCATTTCGTATTTATAATTCTCAACTTGTTATTGCCACTTAAAGATTCCGTCTATGCTGCCTCGTTGGCCGCAGTGTCGCGCGTGGAACAGGCTCTGAGCGAGGCCGCCAGCTCGTTGAGCTCCTTCACGCAACGGCCGGGACCCCGGAGACCTTGGATGTTGCAAATTGAGGTTAGTTTTTGGATAATCTGATAATAATAATTTTAACTGACTTAAAATTCGCTTATATAGATTTGGCTGCTGCTCGCAGATGTCTATATGCGCATCGATCAGCCCAATGAGGCGCTCAACTGCATACACGAAGCCACGCAAATTTATCCGCTTTCGCATCAGATAATGTTTATGGTGAGCTAAGTCTGTGCGTTTTATGAGAATTCAATGCTTAACATGCAGTTTACAGCGCGGTCAGGTGCATGTTTATTTGGAGCAGTGGCGGGAAGCCAAACAATGTTTTTTGAATGCAGTTGCCGCCAATCCGAATCATACGGAAGCTTTGCGTGCTTTGGGCGAAACGCATTTAATACTGGGCGAACCGCGGCTGGCCGAAAAGATGCTCAAGGATGCTGCCAAATTGGATCCAAATTGCCCAAAGATATGGCAAGTGTTGGGCTTTAAAATGTTGATGCATATCTCATTTATAAATCCATTTGCAGGTTTGCGCTGGGTCAGGTTATGGAAACATTGGGGGATTTCAATGCATCCGCTGATTGTTTTGCCACCTCGCTGCAATTGGAGCCGTCGTGTCCGGTGCTTCCGTTTACCTCGATACCTTTAGTTTTCGACTAGGCATTTTCTTGTAAACGTGCATTTGTTTTTTGTTTATCGTTCATTTAGTATACCTCAACTAACCTCAAAAAGAAAAGAAGAAATAAGAAGAAAACGAACAGAGCAATATTACTTACTAGACAATTTAACGATATGTATTTTATTTATATAATTTTTGTTTTTATGATTTCCAATTGTTATTGTCAGTATTAAGACAAGCGTTGATGGTGTATATTGTGCGTGTGCGTGTATAAATTATTAGCTAGCCCTATTCAAAATGTTTAATGCATAACCACTAAACTAAGCCAACTATATCTATTAACAACAATATAACTGTCTGTAACAGCCCAAGTTCATTCCAATTACTTTGAAAGATGATATCCCATGCGATGAAAAACTTGGGAGTTTATAGAAAAGAAATGGAATTTAATTGTTTTCATATTATATTTATTGCATATTGTTATATACATATACGTAAACCTATACAACCGTATACCAAATTAATTATTTAATTTAAAATTATATATATATACATTAAATGGATATTTGGAATGGAAATTTCTTGACTTCTAATTTATAGCACCTCGATTTCTAATATTTAATGATACAGCTGTCAGCTTATGTACTGAAATTAACAAAATCAAGTGTTATCTTTAAAGTTTAAAGATAGTACATATATAAAAGAAAGAACTTAATAGAAATTACCCGGTAATCGCCGAATTTGAATTAGCGACTGCTCGCTTATAACGTAACTTTTTGATCACTCACTTTTGATCCAAAAAAAAAGATTCAGTAATTATTTAAGTTTCCTAAATAAGTTGTCAGATCAAAATCATTTTTATATTTATAGATGTGTGTGTAAATATTTAGAATAGATATTAATCTTTTTAGACACATTCAAGTAGAATTATTTTTAAATTGTAAATTGTAAGTTATTTTAATTTCATATTTTAAATATTTTTAATTAAGATTTGTTATCTTTAAAGTGTGGGAAAACTGCGTTATTTTCTGCAATATTTGTTTAAATTGCGTGTGTGAAAGTTTGCGCAGTTTTCTAAATGCCAGATAAAACTTCCGGCTTTCCTTGCAGCTGTCCCTCATATCATTTCCTTTCACTTTTCACATTCTAATTGGAGCAGCTAATTTCCGGCATTAATGGCGGAAAACCTCGAAACCGTTGCCGAAAAAAAAAAGAAACAACAAGCCAAAGTCAAAACAAAAATAACTCAACAACTCGTTAGGCCTGAGCGTTGCCCGGGACAACGTTCGAGCGGGCAATCAATAAAAAAGTAAACAAAAGTAAAAAATGTGGAAAAACGAGGAAAATGCTATTGCAGGTGCGCAGGAATTTGGGTTTACGAGCAGCGCATTGACGTATGGCAGCCGCCAAAATAAATAATACCCGCGTATTCGATTTGGAATGCAAATATAGAGAGTTTGTGCCAGTTTAGAGTTTGAACCAAATCCCTGCCAATGGGCCAGGCAGCAGGATGACGCCCAAGAAAAAGCGACAGCGCGGCAAGAGTCGCGCCCAGGCGACAGTGAAACAACAACATCAACAGCTGCTGGCTGCACTGGAGCTGACGGATAGCTGCTGCGATATTTGCCACTGCGACTGCTACAGTTCGCACAGCAGCAGCAATGTGAGCGGAGGCGCACAGTCGGCAACGGAACTGCAGCAGCTGGAGCACGAGATACACGCCTTGGAGCAACTGCAGCGCAGCGAGAGCGTCCAGAGCGGCCAGCGGCGCGGGCAACGCAGCGCTACCAAATCCCCAACCCAGGCAAAAGCCACGCACAATCGACGCGGCTCCGCCGAGTGCCAGACGCGCGTCTCCACAGCCTCCGCCAGAGGCAGGCGCTCCAAGAGCGCGGGCAGTCAACGTAGTCAGTCCAGACAGGATACGCCGGAGAAGCCGCACAAACAGCGAACGGGACGTGGGGGCGGGGTGCGTGATTGCCAGATGCTGCAGGTAAGTTTGGCACAATGTGACCAGGTAGTACATCCATTTTATACCCTTACAGACGGGTCCGTAATGTTTGTCATGTAATGTGTAACCACTTGAAGATTGCCATCCAAGGGCTGTTAAATTATATAATTAACCATGAAAATGAATCCTCTTTTTATAATGGGTAAAAAGAGGGTATATGCCGCTTAGGGTATATAAAAGATAATACTATTTAATTTTAAAACTATTGAAAAAGGGTATATTCCGATTGCGCATAAACTATACATTCCTCTACATCTTCGTATGCCTCCTACAGCATTACTTTATTACATCAATATATCAATATATCAATATATCAATATATCAATATATCAATATATCAATATATCAATATATCAATATATCAATATATCAATATATCAATACATCAATACATCAATACATCAATACATCAATACATCAATATATCAATATATCAATATATCAATACATCAATACATCAATAATCAGTATATCAATACATCAATACATCAATACATCAATACATCGATACATCAATATATCAATATATCAATATATCAAAATATCAATACATCAATATATCAATACATCAATACATCAATACATCAATACATCGATACATCAATATATCAATATATCAATATATCAATATATCAATATATCAATATATCAATATATCAATATATCAATATATCAATATATCAATATATCAATATATCAATATATCAATATATCAATATATCAATATATCAATATATCAATATATCAATATATCAATATATCAATATATCAATATATCAATATATCAATATATCAATATATCAATATATCAATATATCAATATATCAATATATCAATATATCAATATATCAATATATCAATATATCAATATATCAATATATCAATATATCAATATGTCAATACATCAATACATCAATACATCAATACATCAATACATCAATACATCAATACATCAATACATCAATATATCAATATATCAATATATCAATATATCAATATATCAATATATCAATATATCAATATATCAATATATCAATATATCAATATATCAATATATCAATATATCAATATATCAATATATCAATATATCAATATATCAATATATCAATATATCAATATATCAATATATCAATATATCAATATATCAATATATCAATATATCAATATATCAATATATCAATATATCAATATATCAATATATCAATATATCAATATATCAATATATCAATATATCAATATATCAATATATCAATATATCAATATATCAATATATCAATATATCAATATATCAATATATCAATATATCAATATATCAATATATCAATATATCAATATATCAATATATCAATATATCAATATATCAATATATCAATATATCAATATATCAATATATCAATATATCAATATATCAATATATCAATATATCAATATATCAATATATCAATATATCAATATATCAATATATCAATATATCAATATATCAATATATCAATATATCAATATATCAATATATCAATATATCAATATATCAATATATCAATATATCAATATATCAATATATCAATATATCAATATATCAATATATCAATATATCAATATATCAATATATCAATATATCAATATATCAATATATCAATATATCAATATATCAATATATCAATATATCAATATATCAATATATCAATATATCAATATATCAATATATCAATATATCAATATATCAATATATCAATATATCAATATATCAATATATCAATATATCAATATATCAATATATCAATATATCAATATATCAATATATCAATATATCAATATATCAATATATCAATATATCAATATATCAATATATCAATATATCAATATATCAATATATCAATATATCAATATATCAATATATCAATATATCAATATATCAATATATCAATATATCAATATATCAATATATCAATATATCAATATATCAATATATCAATATATCAATATATCAATATATCAATATATCAATATATCAATATATCAATATATCAATATATCAATATATCAATATATCAATATATCAATACATCAATATATCAATATATCAATATATCAATATATCAATATATCAATATATCAATATATCAATATATCAATATATCAATATATCAATATATCAATATATCAATATATCAATATATCAATATATCAATATATCAATATATCAATAAAATATATCAATATATCAATATATCAATATATCAATATATCAATATATCAATATATCAATATATCAATATATCAATATATCAATATATCAATATATCAATATATCAATATATCAATATATCAATATATCAATATATCAATATATCAATATATCAATATATCAATATATCAATATATCAATATATCAATATATCAATATATCAATATATCAATATATCAATATATCAATATATCAATATATCAATATATCAATATATCAATATATCAATATATCAATATATCAATATATCAATATATCAATATATCAATATATCAATATATCAATATATCAATATATCAATATATCAATATATCAATATATCAATATATCAATATATCAATATATCAATATATCAATATATCAATATATCAATATATCAATATATCAATATATCAATATATCAATATATCAATATATCAATATATCAATATATCAATATATCAATATATCAATATATCAATATATATATATCAATATATCAATATATCAATATATCAATATATCAATATATCAATATATCAATATATCAATATATCAATATATCAATATATCAATATATCAATATATCAATATATCAATATATCAATATATCAATATATCAATATATCAATATATCAATATATCAATATATCAATATATCAATATATCAATATATCAATATATCAATATATCAATATATCAATATATCAATATATCAATATATCAATATATCAATATATCAATATATCAATATATCAATATATCAATATATCAATATATCAATATATCAATATATCAATATATCAATATATCAATATATCAATATATCAATATATCAATATATCAATATATCAATATATCAATATATCAATATATCAATATATCAATATATCAATATATCAATATATCAATATATCAATATATCAATATATCAATATATCAATATATCAATATATCAATATATCAATATATCAATATATCAATATATCAATATATCAATATATCAATATATCAATATATCAATATATCAATATATCAATATATCAATATATCAATATATCAATATATCAATATATCAATATATCAATATATCAATATATCAATATATCAATATATCAATATATCAATATATCAATATATCAATATATCAATATATCAATATATCAATATATCAATATATCAATATATCAATATATCAATATATCAATATATCAATATATCAATATATCAATATATCAATATATCAATATATCAATATATCAATATATCAATATATCAATATATCAATATATCAATATATCAATATATCAATATATCAATATATCAATATATCAATATATCAATATATCAATATATCAATATATCAATATATCAATATATCAATATATCAATATATCAATATATCAATATATCAATATATCAATATATCAATATATCAATATATCAATATATCAATATATCAATATATCAATATATCAATATATCAATATATCAATATATCAATATATCAATATATCAATATATCAATATATCAATATATCAATATATCAATATATCAATATATCAATATATCAATATATCAATATATCAATATATCAATATATCAATATATCAATATATCAATATATCAATATATCAATATATCAATATATCAATATATCAATATATCAATATATCAATATATCAATATATCAATATATCAATATATCAATATATCAATATATCAATATATCAATATATCAATATATCAATATATCAATATATCAATATATCAATATATCAATATATCAATATATCAATATATCAATATATCAATATATCAATATATCAATATATCAATATATCAATATATCAATATATCAATATATCAATATATCAATATATCAATATATCAATATATCAATATATCAATATATCAATATATCAATATATCAATATATCAATATATCAATATATCAATATATCAATATATCAATATATCAATATATCAATATATCAATATATCAATATATCAATATATCAATATATCAATATATCAATATATCAATATATCAATATATCAATATATCAATATATCAATATATCAATATATCAATATATCAATATATCAATATATCAATATATCAATATATCAATATATCAATATATCAATATATCAATATATCAATATATCAATATATCAATATATCAATATATCAATATATCAATATATCAATATATCAATATATCAATATATCAATATATCAATATATCAATATATCAATATATCAATATATCAATATATCAATATATCAATATATCAATATATCAATATATCAATATATCAATATATCAATATATCAATATATCAATATATCAATATATCAATATATCAATATATCAATATATCAATATATCAATATATCAATATATCAATATATCAATATATCAATATATCAATATATCAATATATCAATATATCAATATATCAATATATCAATATATCAATATATCAATATATCAATATATCAATATATCAATATATCAATATATCAATATATCAATATATCAATATATCAATATATCAATATATCAATATATCAATATATCAATATATCAATATATCAATATATCAATATATCAATATATCAATATATCAATATATCAATATATCAATATATCAATATATCAATATATCAATATATCAATATATCAATATATCAATATATCAATATATCAATATATCAATATATCAATATATCAATATATCAATATATCAATATATCAATATATCAATATATCAATATATCAATATATCAATATATCAATATATCAATATATCAATATATCAATATATCAATATATCAATATATCAATATATCAATATATCAATATATCAATATATCAATATATCAATATATCAATATATCAATATATCAATATATCAATATATCAATATATCAATATATCAATATATCAATATATCAATATATCAATATATCAATATATCAATATATCAATATATCAATATATCAATATATCAATATATCAATATATCAATATATCAATATATCAATATATCAATATATCAATATATCAATATATCAATATATCAATATATCAATATATCAATATATCAATATATCAATATATCAATATATCAATATATCAATATATCAATATATCAATATATCAATATATCAATATATCAATATATCAATATATCAATATATCAATATATCAATATATCAATATATCAATATATCAATATATCAATATATCAATATATCAATATATCAATATATCAATATATCAATATATCAATATATCAATATATCAATATATCAATATATCAATATATCAATATATCAATATATCAATATATCAATATATCAATATATCAATATATCAATATATCAATATATCAATATATCAATATATCAATATATCAATATATCAATATATCAATATATCAATATATCAATATATCAATATATCAATATATCAATATATCAATATATCAATATATCAATATATCAATATATCAATATATCAATATATCAATATATCAATATATCAATATATCAATATATCAATATATCAATACATCAATACATCAATACATCAATACATCAATACATCAATATATCAATATATCAATATATCAATATATCAATATATCAATATATCAATATATCAATATATCAATATATCAATATATCAATATATCAATATATCAATATATCAATATATCAATATATCAATATATCAATATATCAATATATCAATATATCAATATATCGATATATCAATATATCAATATATCAATACATCAATATATCAATACATCAATACATCAATACATCAATGTATCAATGTATCAATATATCAATATATCAATATATCAATATATCAATATATCAATATATCAATATATCAATATATCAATATATCAATATATCAATATATCAATATATCAATATATCAATATATCAATATATCAATATATCAATTATATCAATATATCAATATATCAATATATCAATATATCAATATATCATTATATCACTATATCAAATATATCAATATATCATTATATCACTATATCAATATATCAATATATCAATATATCAATATATCAATATATCAATATATCAATATATCAATATATCAATATATCAATATATCAATATATCAATATATCAATATATCAATATATCAATATATCAATATATCAATATATCAATATATCAATATATCAATATATCAATATATCAATATATCAATATATCAATATATCAATATATCAATATATCAATATATCAATACATCAATATATCAAAATATCAATACATCAATACATCAATACATCAATACATCAATACATCAATATATCAATATATCAATATATCAATATATCAATATATCAATATATCAATATATCAATACATCAATATATCAATATATCAATATATCAATATATCAATACATCAATACATCAATACATCAATACATCAATACATCAATATATCAATATATCAATATATCAATATATCAATATATCAATATATCAATATATCAATATATCAATATATCAATATATCAATATATCAATATATCAATATATCAATATATCAATATATCAATATATCAATATATCAATATATCAATATATCAATACATCAATATATCAATACATCAATACATCAATACATCAATGTATCAATGTATCAATATATCAATATATCAATATATCAATATATCAATATATCAATATATCAATATATCAATATATCAATATATCAATATATCAATATATCAATATATCAATATATCAATATATCAATATATCAATATATCAATATATCAATATATCAATATATCATTATATCACTATATCAAATATATCAATATATCATTATATCACTATATCAATATATCAATATATCAATATATCAATATATCAATATATCAATATATCAATATATCAATATATCAATATATCAATATATCAAATATCATCAATATATCAATATATCAATATATCAATATATCAATATATCAATATATCAATATATCAATATATCAATATATCAATATATCAATATATCAATATATCAATATATCAATATATCAATACATCAATATATCAAAATATCAATACATCAATACATCAATACATCAATACATCAATACATCAATACATCAATATATCAATATATCAATATATCAATATATCAATATATCAATATATCAATACATCAATATATCAATATATCAATATATCAATATATCAATACATCAATATATCAATATATCAATATATCAATATATCAATATATCAATATATCAATATATCAATATATCAATATATCAATATATCAATATATCAATATATCAATATATCAATATATCAATATATCAATATATCAATATATCAATATATCAATATATCAATATATCAATATATCAATATATCAATATATCAATACTTCAATACATCAATACATCAATATATCAATATATCAATATATCAATATATCAATATATCAATATATCAATATATCAATATATCAATATATCAATATATCAATATATCAATATATCAATATATCAATATATCAATATATCAATATATCAATATATCAATATATCAATATATCAATATATCAATATATCAATATATCAATATATCAATATATCAATATATCAATATATCAATATATCAATATATCAATATATCAATATATCAATATATCAATATATCAATATATCAATATATCAATATATCAATATATCAATATATCAATATATCAATATATCAATATATCAATATATCAATATATCAATATATCAATATATCAATATATCAATATATCAATATATCAATATATCATTATATCACTATATCAATATATCAATATATCAATATATCAATATATCAATATACCAATATATCAATATATCAATATATCAATATATCAATATATCAATACATCATTACATCAATACATCAATACACATCAATACATCAATACATCAATACATCAATACATCAATACATCAATACATCAATATATCAATATGTCAATATATCAATATATCAATATATCAATATATCAATATATCAATATATCAATATATCAATATATCAATATATCAATATATCAATATATCATTATATCACTATATCAATATATCAATATATTAATATATTAATATATCAATATATCAATATATTAATATATCAATATATCAATATATCAATATATCAATATATCAATATATCAATATATCAATATATCAATATATCAATATATCAATATATCAATATATCAATATATCATTATATCAATACATCAATATATCAATATATCAATATATCAATATATCAATATATCAATATATCAATATATCGATATATCAATATATCAATATATCAATATATCAATATATTAATATATCAATATATCAATACATCAATACATCAATACATCAATACATCAATACATCAATATATCAAAATACATCAATATATCAATATATCAATATATCAATATATCAATATATCAATATATCAATATATCAATATATCAATATATCAATATATCAATATATCAATACATCAATACATCAATACATCAATACATCAATACATCAATACATCAATACATCAATATATCAATATATCAATATATCAGTATATCAATATATCAATATATCAATATATCAATATATCAATATATCAATATATCAATATATCAATACATCAATACATCAATACATCAATACATCAATACATCAATGTATCAATATATCAATATATCAATATATCAATATATCAATATATCAATATATCAATATATCAATATATCAATATATCAATATATCAATATATCAATATATCAATATATCAATATATCAATATATCAATATATCAATATATCAATATATCAATATATCAATATATCAATATATCAATATATCAATATATCAATATATCAATATATCAATATATCAATATAATCAATACATCAATATATCAATATATCAATATATCAATATATCAATACATCAATATATCAATATATCAATATATCAATATATCAATATATCAATATATCAATATATCAATATATCAATATATCAATATATCAATATATCAATATATCAATATATCAATATATCAATATATCAATATATCAATATATCAATATATCAATATATCAATATATCAATATATCAATATATCAATATATCAATATATCAATATATCAATATATCAATATATCAATATATCAATATATCAATATATCAATATATCAATATATCAATATATCAATATATCAATATATCAATATATCAATATATCAATATATCAATATATCAATATATCAATATATCAATATATCAATATATCAATATATCAATATATCAATATATCAATATATCAATATATCAATATATCAATATATCAATATATCAATATATCAATATAATAATATATCAATATATCATATAGCATAGAAGGAATCTTTCGAAAAATAGTTTTTTATATGGAAAAAAAGTTCTTCAAGTTAACTTCACCAAATTCAGCCATTCTTTTCAATAATCTAGAAAACCCTAAGCCATAAATCGACTAGGGTATTTAGTCTTCGGTGTGCCGAAGTGTGACCCGCAAATATCTTCATATCCGTATATTATTTCTACACTGCAGACTGTGTTTGGTTCACTCAACACGGTCGATGCCACGACGCTGGCCATCAGCGGCAGCAGCAGATCCAAGTCGAAGTCGCAGGAGAACATGGCGTTGGTGCCGCTGGCCCAGAACTTGGCACGCGGCAACTCCTTGTGCGCCTCCATGGCCAATTTGTGCCTGGCGCCAACGGTGCGCGCCGCCTACGCGCAGGTGCCCAGCCACGATCAGAGGATACTCAATCGGATGGCCGTGAAGCGCAGCGAACGGGCGGCGGACAAGGAGCACGCTTGGCTGGCGCGCAAATACTGGGAGAACGAGCGGCTGGAGCGTCAGCTGCTCAAGTGCGAGCAGCTGGAGGAGTACAAGCGTGCCGTGCACGACAAACAGTTTCAGGATTACCTGATGACCAAGGCGCGCCTCCAGGCGCTGGCCGAGCGCGATCTGGCCGAGCTGCGACGCCTGCGCGGCGCATTGGACGCCAAAGATGCGGCGGCCAAGCAGCGCTTGGATGCGATGCGGTTGGAGCGTGACCTGACGCTTTGCCAGCGCCGCTATGAGGAATCGCGACGCAACGACGCCGTCAATCTGCAGCAGGAGGAGCAACAGCTGGATGCGACACTGCGCAAGCGTGACACTTGCATGCGGCTCACACAACGGCTGCGCCGGGCGGATGAGCTGCGCGCCCAGCTGCTGGAGGGCTATCTGAAGCGGCTGCAGCACGACAATCAAGTGGAGCAGCTGCATCATGAGGAGCACTGGCGCGAGCGCCAGCAATTGGAGCGTCTGAAGCGTGAGCAGCTGCAGCATGACATCCAAAGGAAACGCCAGCAATCGCAGCGCTTTGTGGACACTCGACAGCGGCGACACGAGGCACGCTTCCGCACGGCCAAGATCTCGGCCAGCCTCAGGGAGCTCGTCCGGCAGTCCGTCACACCCGAATCGGCTCTGGACCAGCATTCGAACAGCTTCTATGCCCAGCAGCAGTCACAGCTGGGTCGCCTGCTCTTCCAGAAGGATTTTGCTAAATAGTTCCCCAAGGCGTTTTCAAATATGCAATTGTTGTTATTATGTAAATAAAATAAGAGTGTAATATTTAAAAATTGCGTTAAATCCGGGGGTGGGCAAAAGCTTTGTTTAAACTAATGAAACATTTAACTTAATATATACATACATGACAATTGCACCAAGGGGGGGCCCCCTGTAGTTAGTTGCAGGACGTTGACTTAAGTGCAATGCGTCATTGTAAGTGTGCAACTAGCCCGAGTTCGAACCCAGCTGCTGGAAAGTAAAGAAAATCTGTCAAAGTGGAATATTGATTAGGGACACATCCTTTTTTTTTATTTTTTAAAAACAAGATACAAATAAAATATTGCTAAACGGGCAAAAGAGACACTACAATTTGTTTGAGCTATAAAAAAATTGGTTGTTAACCGATGCCAACGACACGCGGTGTTCCCAAGCGGTCCCCCATCTAAGTACTAACCGCGCCCGACGCTGCTTAATTTCGGTGATCGGACGAGAACCGATGTATTCAGCGTGGTATGGTCGTTGGCGAAAGTCGAATGACAAAATTCTGATTTTGATTGAAATATGCGACAAGTGTTGCTTTTGCGCCAGTAAGATATTTAGTCGGAAGGTATTAATTTGGTAAATAAAATTTTAAGATAAACTAAAAGAAAAAATTACAATAGTTAAAAAAATGACTAGTTTTTTATCTGTTAGCAAACCAACTATTTTCGATAAGCATGCAGCTCAAGATTAGCAAAAAAAATCTTATAAATTTGATATTATAATAATTTTTGATTGGAAAAAACTGTAAATTGAAGTAGAAACTTAGAAATGTCTAGAAAAGAAAAGAAAACTTAAGAGTCTATACGCAAGATAAATGTAAAATGTGTCAGAATTAGTTAGACCTCCTTGCAGGGAGCACATTTAAAGAATAAATTAATATTATTTATGCCTTGTGCCAAGTGCTTAGTTAAATTGGACACCAATTTATTTTAGTAGATTTCAAGCATTTGTTCTTATCTCATATTGTTGTAGGAACAATCAAGACAGACCAACTAGAGCCCAGAGAGAGAGAGGGAGACAGATCACGTAGCCGGCGCAACGGCAACTGCATGACGTGTTGGCCACGGACAAAGGCAAAGGCAACGGCTGGGCAACGGCTGGGATCTGGGCTGGGTTGGGTCAATGTCTGGGCACTTGATTCACCTCGCTGGGGGACACACGTCGCACTTTCCTGCTATGACTAATTGGCCAGGGCGCGTACACAATAAACGAATTTATTATATATGTAAATAGTTACTTTAGAGAAATGCCCAACGAGTTACATTATATTTGTCTCGGATCTCGAATCGGGTGAGAAGAGGTTATCATTGGCGATTGTGACTCAGTTGGAGTGCTCTCTGGCACTAGCTGAACGCCTCCTGTCGCCATGTCGCCATGTCGCCAGCCAAACGAGCCAAACGAATCGCTGACCTAGGCCAGGCGGCGGCGGTCACTTCCCGGTGTTAAATCAAAGTTAATTGGATTAACACTTTTTTGTGGCTCAAGTCGGGTCCATAATTATGACATATCTCGTTAGTTTTATTTTTTTATTTTTTTCTTTTTTTGTTCACATTATTGTTGTTGTGGTCATTTTGTAATTGAAGCAAATGCGGCCCACAATCAAAATTGTCTTTACTGGCTGTGGCTGTGGCTGTGAATGTGTCTGCTCTGGATGCCTGGCATTTGCTTGTTTACGATCAGACAGTCGGGCACTTGTTTTGATTGAAGGCGTTGATAGTGCTCCCGGTGCACATACATATATTTATATATATATGTATATATACAGTACAACACTGAGAACTCAACGTTCAATGGACAGAGTCGTACTTAGTATGCTCTATAAATAAGTTGGAATTGTAATGGCTCGGGCATTTTCCATGCTGATAAGTTTTGACTATCAGCGGAAAATTATTAAATTTTATGGTATGAGAATATTAATATTTATTACGACGGTTAGTGTTAGAGGCCAACATTTCTTTTGTGGTTGCAGTTATCGAAAAGATATTTAACATAGCGCAAACATAGCCTAAGTTTAGATAACATAGCACAAACATAGCCTAACAGAACATAGCATATTTAACATAGCTTAAAGATGTTATACATGTTTCATGTTATGTTAAAAGCGTGCCACTGCCGTTAAAAATTGTATTTATATTTACAGAGGTTAACCGAAAACAAGCATATGTTGAATGGAAACTGATTCAAAACTTAAAAAGATGAACTTAAAATTTTAAGTGAAAAACTTTAAAATTAAATTTGCAACCTTTAAATTTTGTTTAATTAAATTCTTGACATTTCAATTAAAATAATTTATATTTTTGTTTATATTCTTAAATATTTAAAATAAAATGTGGGAGCCTATTTAAAATTATAAAAACTAAATTCACAATTTAAATAATAACATTTAAATTTTTTTTCTTCAAATTAACATTTATTTTCGGATTATATGTCTGGAATGTTAAACATAAAGACTACATTTATAGAGTATGCCTAGTTTAATTTAAAACTAAAAAAAATGCGAAAGAAATTGCTGGAAAAATTACTTGCGCTTTTTCAACATTCTCTATCTTACATTTTATTGTAGTTGTATTATCTGTGGCAAATATATACTTTTAATTTTTATTTATAATTATTGTATACATTTAATTGTTGGACTTAATAGGTCCATATAGGGCATATATATTTATATAATATATATTTATATATAAATATACAAAGATGTTAAATTAAGCGATAAGCTTGGTTTCATAAGATTTTAAGCGCGTGCTTCTATCGAAAATAAAGTAATATATTTAGTATATTATATTATATAAATAATATATAATATATGGTCTCAAGGTCTTTTATATTGTTGCAAATTTAGACGTTGTTATGAAATATTTAACAATATAAAAGTCATTAATAATTTATAAATTTTACTTTTTTCATTTTATGGAATGCAATTTAAATACGCCCTATAATATTGTGGATAATAAAAAGATATATTTATTAATATTTATATTGCTAATAAATAATTTTAAAATTAAAACTATAATAATAATATAATAATATAGATATAACTATAATAACAGTTTGTTTGTAATGTTTAATGTGAATTCAGTTTTCATTTTTGTCAGTTTTTGATTAGAAATATTTAGAAACATTTTATTTGGATGCGCCACAGAGGCAAAAATAGCTCACAAATTATATGCATCTAAATATATATTCAAATTTCTATTCAGATTTGATCTGATGTCATAGCTAATACTTCCAGCTGGTCGACAGACACAGGGCGAATAATTGCGTAACTTTGAAATTTGCGAAACAAGCGATTGATTTTTAATTTAAGCTAAGTTTTTAAGCATTTTAGAATTTTAATGCATTTTTTTCGCTTATTTTCTGAACAATTGATTTAAATTTAGCTAATTTTTAAATGTAGATGCTAGTCATTGAATTAGCTAACTTTTTTAGGAAGGAATTTTGTTTATTAATATTTTCTTAGTTTAAAAAAAAAGCTAATTTTTGGAGCTTGAATCGCACACTAGGTCTCAATATCCATGGAGTCTGTGTATTTGAGATTCAGCCGCGCCTCAATAATATTCGAATGCTGTCGCAGAGTGTGATTGTTGAGATTGCCAACGCTCTGATAGGACTTGTCGCAGTAGGTGCAGGCATATGGCTTCTCGCCGGTGTGGACCAAATGATGCGAGTTGAGGTGGCCCCGCGTGAAGAAGGCCTTGCTGCACTTATCACATTTATACGGTCGCTTGGACATATCGGGATCGTGGGAACGCATATGGGTGCGCAGATCCGATTTGGTTGGCCACGTTTTGCCGCAGACGCCGCAGTCAAAGATGCGCGGCTTCGTTTCGCCCGTATGCATGCGGGCGTGCGAGATCAGTTGGGTGCGCAGCACGAAACGCCGATCGCACAGCTCGCAGGCAAATGGTCGTTCCGTCGAGTGCAGCGATGTGAAATGATAGCGCAGGCTGTGACGCGATGCGAAACTCTTCGAGCACACCTCGCACTCATAGCGCAGCCCATCGCCCAGGCCGTGCACCGATATCATGTGCAACTTCAGCTGAAAGTTACGCGTAAATTTCTTCTCACACTCGCTGCACGGACGCAGCGATTTTGGTGTCCTGCTACGCGACGCGCCACCTGTTGTTGCCCCCGCCTTGTTGCGTGGCGCCCTCTTGCGCTTGGGCACATCAACTGGCGCTGGCATACTGTCCGCTCTGCCGCCCTGCTGCTGTTCCGCGGGCGCATTGTTGGCCTCCAGTTGCTCCAGCGTGGCGGGCAAATGGATGGGCGTGTTCAGTGTCCCGGCATCCCAGCTGGCAAATGTCGTCTCTGGCTGCTCGTAAGTGGACCGAAACAAATCCGACAAATCCATGGAACCTGTCGGGTAAGAGAAACACGTTCTTTACTTTGCATATGAATTGCGTTTCTTGAAATTCAAATATCGTATAGTTATATCTGATAATCTCTTAGGATGTTCACAAACTCGGCACTATTTATTGAGAGGCAGTGGCACACACATATTTCAAGCCCTATGAGAAGGTGTTCTGGACATAGCTTTACAGACAAGCTGCATATTCATTGGGAGGGCGTGTCACACACATATTTTGTAGCTTTATCAAGAGGGTTCTGGACATTGCTTTATGTAAAATAGAACCAACTTTGATCTCCAGTCTGCCAGCTTATTATTAGTCACATTAACTATCTAATAAGGCCGTCTGGAGTAAATATATATAGTCTTAAGATTTGCAGATTTTTTTCTGATCACATCGCCAAACTCAATTTCGTTGCTCGAATGGAATTCTTTTTTGGTTGGTTTTCAATCTATAGCCAAGAAGTTTTGCAAAAACAACTCTGAAGTAACTTTATTAAATGAACGAAAGGAAATATGAAAAGTATATTGATTTTCTGAATATTCTGGAAACTCTGCTTAACGCTTTTCACATGTATTTGCCATTCACTATCGGCAATCAAAACCAACCGAAAATCAGCAAATTACAAAACTGCGAACTGGCTATAAATAGTATTTCAAATAGGACTTTGTAATCTTGAGATTTGTTTGTTTGCCTTCGCTTATAGGCTATAAAAGCAATACTTATTCGTTTAAATATTAAACCGATTGCTAGCTATACGATATAGTAATTCGTTAAAAGCAGAATAGCTTTTTATAAAACATTCAAGCTATATATTCAATCTATACCGAGGGATTTGGATATGCAAAGGTCATGTTTGTATTTTCCTAACAGTTCTTGAGCAATTGTTTCTATGACAGCTATATGATATAATGTATATGATATAACAGTTCATTGCGAACCTCGTAATAGCTAAGTTTTGTTGGAATATCTACAAAAATTTCAAAAACTCAAATTTCGAACGAGAGTTCATATGACAGCTACAGAAAGCTTTCAATTCAATCGGAAGTGGGCCTGATAACAAATTCGCGCTCATGATACGATTTATCAAAATATGTGCCATTATTTCCGAAACAATTATGTGACAATCTAATGTAGAGGGAATCTTAAAGGTTAGGATAATGCTGAATCATGATGAATCGATGAATGGATGAAGCGGGAATATGCCAAACATTATTCAAATATTTTGTACTCACCGAAGTCGACCGGCTCCAGCTGTGATGTGGGAATGGACGTTGATTTGGCCTGCTCCAGGCAGCCGACTTCGCGCTCGAGGCACTCGAGTGCATCGTCCAGTGCCTGTTCGTGCCGGGCACGTAAGATGCGTTCAGATTCCTCGCAGCGCTCCCGGAACTCGAGGGCGTCGTGCAGACGATGCAGGCACAGCTGACATATGACATCGCTGGGCACAATCTGTAGATTGGGCGCCAGGGCGAGCAGCTCGATGCTTAGCTGATTATTGTCACAAATGCTGTGGCACTGCGCCGGCTGCTCCACCAGGCAGCAGCGGCAGACCACGAAGACCGAGCGATTCAGCAGCGGGAACATTATAAATAATACTTGGGATCGTCCGTCCGCTCAGCTGGACCGTTGCTGGACGTCTGAGATGCGAGCGAATAATGACAACGGCCTCTATCAGAGACCCAAGTGCTGCAGTCGGTGTCTCTGCCTCTGCCGACGTCGATGCCTCTGCCTCTGCCTCGGCCTCTGCCACTGCCACTGCCACAGCCACTGTCACTGCCGGCTCAGGGCGCACCGATAGCCCTTGACATGAGCCCTGGGCGATAAGCGGGCCGGGACTGTCTGTCAACGTTTGCTAATTTACAATCGCTGCTTACTAATTGATTACCATTGAGATCCGAATCGGGGATCGGCTATCTACGGTAACTGCAACAGCAGCTCCATTCGACCTGTTACCACAAGTCTTATCAGTACTCAGTACTCAGTATTTGGCACTCACTACGGATGAACTGGTTATCTCATCGTTATAATTCGCTTTGGGTGGTCTTAGAGCTGTTTTTGATACCATCGGCCTCTGGATCTTCCAAAAATAGTCGGGCTGTTATCTCTCCTTATCGCTTGGTTGTGTCGAGCTTTGTACCGAGCGGGTTTCCCGCATTCTCTAAATGACACCTTTTGTTTGTTGTATTCATGTTCGGCTTTGGTCATTCAAATTTTCTAAACGGATATTTCAAATGGGTTTCCTTCAAAGGATATGAAGTGTACAGAAATTCTAAAAGCAGCTTAATGAATTTTGTCGGGCGAATTGGGAGGCTAATCAAAAATGCAAAGTTTGTGATAAACAAATGCGACTATAGGGTAAGTTTTCTTCTATATATCTTGCAAAACAAAAAGTTTTTCATACAACTTTATTTTAGACCGATCGTTCCTATAGAAGCTATATAATGTAAATGAGATTTCGCATTTATGTAGGGAACATAGTGAAACTTATAAATGGCGAGTTTGGTCAAGACATCTTGAAAAAGAAAAAAATTGTCCATAGTAATTTTCGACCAATCGTTCCTATGGCAGCTACATGATATAGTAGACCGATCCAGCCGGTCAGACGGACAGACGGACATGGCTATATCGACTCGGATGTTAATACTCATCAAGAATAAATATACTTTATGGGGTCGGAGATGTTTAAGGTATGGCCACACCCATTAAGGGGCGGGAAAGTCGAGTAAATCAATATCTTCAACCACACTCAAAAAATAAGTTCGCTACATTTTAGAAAATCGCACTAAAATGAATACAATTTTGAATTTCAAATTATATATATTTATAATTATTACAGAGAAGACTACTTAAGAAATAAAAGCTGTCCAGTGCTACATGTTTTCATGAGAAAATAATAGTACCCTATGTATTATAAGGGTATACAAAAAGCTGATTGATTCAGCAGGATAATACCCTTAAGTGGATCGTTGCTGAACGTCTGAGATGCGAGCGAATAATGACAGCGGACTCTATCAGAGACTCAAGAACTGCAGCCAGTGCATCTGCCGACGTCGATGCCGCTGCCTCTGCCGACGTCGATGGCTCTGCCTCTGCCACTGCCACTGCCGGCGCAGGGCGCACCGATAGCCCTTGACATGAGCCCTGGGCGATAAGCGGGCCGGGACTGTCTGTCAACGTTTGCTAATTTACAATCGCTGCTTACTAATTGATTACCATTGAGATCTGAATTGGGGATCGGCTATCTACGATACGTGCAATAGCAGCTCCATTCGACCTGTTACCGCAGGTCTTATCAGTACTCAGTACTCAGTACTCAGTATTTGGCACTCACTACGGATGAACTGGTTATCTCATCGTTATATTTCGCTTTGGGTGATCCTAGAGCATCGCCCTCTGGATCTTCCATGTGAGACACGTCCCAAAAATAGTCGGCCTGTTATCTTTTGTTATCGCTGTGTTGTGTTGAGCTTTGTACCGAGCGGGTTTCCCGCATTCTCTAAATGACACCATTTATTTGTTGTATTCATGTTCGGCTTTTGTCATTTAAATCATCTAGAAGTACCTTTAAAATGGCTTACCAATTGAAATATATATACTGGGGGCCTAGAGCCGCATAAATAGTGTAAACTCCTTTTTGATATTTTCGAAATCACATTTAGCAGATTGTCTAAGACCAGGATTTTAAATAGGAAGCAGCCGTATGCGAGTTTTTTTCATATTAAAGCCTCAGGTACAATTAAAGGATGTCGCATAAAAACTAAATTGTTGGCAAAGATTTAATTAATTTTATATCTAATCAAATTTCAACGAGATTAAAAATCTAGCCATACAGATTCTATTGCCTACCAGAAAAAAGTATTGAAATCAACCAATGCAACAATATTTTAGTTCAATCTATCTCAATGCCTTTATTCCAATATTTGATAGAATCTTGAGACTCTGAAATCAAAGCATACTATATTTCGTCTTGAATTGTCAAAACTTCTATAGATAATACACAAAAATATTTTAGAATTCAGTACACTTCTATAGTATAACTTTATTGAAAAAGATGAAAAATGTCAGCACCTTTTCAATATTATTTTTTGGTTTTCTGCTGTGCATTTCAAGCTGTGGTAAGTTGAGATTTTGAAAGCCCTGATTTTGATAAGATTAAGGTTTTAAAAAGTACATATATATATTAGATAAATTTTAAATATAAGCTCATGTATAAAATATACAGATCAAGTTTATTTTCATTTAGCGATAACTCACTTCGTTTCTTCAACATCGATTAATATCGATTAGGTTTAATTATTATTTGATATGAAATGTAAGAAAATCGATTGGAACAGCTCGAATATTATGGAAAGTTTTGATAGGAAATCGTAAAGGTCATTTCGTGTTGCCCCTTGAAAATGTATTTTGTACTAAATGTATTAAAATAACAATTTTATTTAAGTAAAGAAATATTTAGACAGTTTTGTATATTCTTATGAATACAACTGTAATCTGATATAACCATTAGCAGGGGCAAAAAATACAACAAATAATGAATGCGTCAACTGCACCCAATATAGTGGCGATTGTAAAATGAACAGTACGGGATGGGCTCCATTTTGGATGTCCCACGTGGACCATCGCATAGTTAGGAAACTACGCACCTATACGGACGGGGATCCACATCTAGCTCGATGCGTTATTGATGGTTATGAGATAACAGGTGAGTCAAATTATATTCCATGACAATTGCATCTATTAAACTTACAGAGTACTGCAGATGAAATAGAAACATTTATATGCTTCTGGGCACCATATATGGGCTGTCAGGCTGCTGCCAGTAAGGCTTACGTGAATATACATCATATGCATAATATAGTCTGTCAAGTATGTGCCAGATATTGCAAATGCAAGAAGCTAAAAGTTACTGCGAAAGCTAGTCCATCTTCCAGATACTTTGGTATGCCTGGCAAATGCTTTATGTTTTGGCCTTTAATATACGCATTCGCTTAACTTGAGCAATTATTCCCGATGTTGGAAAACTCTATACGGAAATATATATAAACATATATACATATGTGAACATTTTAAAAATGAAGTATTTAACTATGTCTTCTTAACCTAAAGAAAGTCAGTTAAATAATTAAATTAATGCGCAGAGGTGAACATAAAGTGGGATATGGCGATTCCGTTATGAAAGCATATATAGATGCATGAACCATGGTTATCATCATGGTCGAGCTTTATGTCATTGTTGTACTTTATGTGAGGTGGTGAACCATATTTGTTTTTGGTCGGTCCCCATCAAATGCGAGGCAGTTGTACCTTTTGTCAACCCTTGTCTGGGTTGTGCCAAGCATTGCGGCAATTGTTCGCTGAGAGTGCGAACTGGATCCTTGCCACAATGATATGCACAAACCTTATAATAGCCATAGCATTTTATCACTATTTTAACCAATTTGGTACGTATTTAATCTCGCTTTATTTATGTTTTGCAATTCGTACTTATCTGTATAAATTTAAAAGTAATAAAGTAAATAAAATCTGATGTCTCTTTGTTCTTATGCATATATATATAAGTATATATACGACTATTCGTACTTTTCCGAAATATTCCAAAATCTATTTAAGCCCGAAACCTTTACAATACTCAGCATGCTGGTATTCAAAGGTCAGTTATGTTTAGGTTTCTGTTTAGGTTTATGAAAAATTCGTTGCTTTTTAAATGGATTTTATGGCCTTTATGTTATTATACAGGCAGTGAGTATATGGATAATACATACACATTATGTTTATCTGAGTTTAACTCAGTGTCATGCCACATCGAACAGTTGCAAATGGTCAGTTAAATAATGAATTCGTCTTATGCGATGAATATGTTCATAAAGAGTGTAAAGTGGCCAGGATATAATTAAGGTTAAAAGACTCAGAGTTGACGATAAATATAGGATATAATATAGGAGGTTTTCGCATCCCAGCATCAAAGCCCAGTTTTGTATTTCAGGTGATTTAAATAAATTTGTTAGCTTTTGGTCTGCGGACCTGAGCTGTCAAGCTTCGCAAATAGCACACAATCAATTTGCAAGACGTGTGTCAAGTTTGTACAGGCAGAAGAAAGCATTCGGAAGAGGCAGATGAGTTGAGCAGCCGATACGCCGAGAAGCTGCTGCAGCACCCGAACGCGGCCGCCAGGGCCTTGGCTGATTCCATCAGCGAGAGGCGCCTCCGAAGGCTACACCCCGACGACCTACCCACGAGGCGTATTACTTAAGAATGTAAAAAACATCATTATAAATAACATCACTGTAAATACTACATAAGTTACATTATAGTAACTATAAACCAATATTAATTATTCGCTTGGTAGAGATCAGAAAGCACTGATCGATTCCAGCGCAAAATAAACGGAAGAAATATTGAAACAGATGAGTTGAGTCCATGTAGACATGCCCTGTCTGCCTGTACTTCAGTGAGTGTGGGGTTTAATGGACAGATGTAGAAGGCTAAGCGTAACTTGCGTAATTCGTAAGCGCAATGCGCCTCGGCAGCAGTATGTGGCCTCTTAGTGGTAACTCTTAGTGATTGTCCAAGAATTGGCTTATTCGATCTGAGAAAGGCTCAATCAGACGTTAATGTGATAGTGGTAAGATACTTGTACCAAGCCATGAGCTAAACCAGAAGCAGCTTATTCTTGTAAGACGAGCCACAATTGGGATAACAGATGACCCATTCCTTGTTGGCGTGGGACAAAGATGGGTAGCAGATCGGCCAGGAGTCCGCGAAACTTTGTTTATTCCCGGTGTTATTCGTTGCGGTCCCTCAGGGAGTTACATGGTGGTTGTGGCTTATACCCAAGTACGCGGCTAGAGCTCGGCGTGGAGTTGCGTAACAACTGGGTGATGTATCCACAGCCCAGCTAAGGTTTTAGGTCGTAGTAGTTATAGTAGCTAGTTACACCAAAATTATTAGGTATAAACAGATCCACATCATTTCGCATTCTCCCCCCAAAATTATATGTATGTCTACATATAAAGCATATTAACATTAGTCTCAACATGAGGAAAAGTGAAAACTCCGTTTTATCAATTATACTTATTGCTATTGTGGTTTGGAAATCGGGTAAGTTATCTACTGCGCGTTGTACAATAATAATGGAAAAATTTTACAATTTTCAGAGGCATATGAAAAGGACAGCTTGAATAATGAATGTGTCAAATGTGATAATGGAGATTGTAAAATATTCTTTAATGGTTGGATGTACTTAAGAGATTATCCAAAAGATAAGACATTAGTTGAACGAGTTCCCAAAAACGCAGACATTTATGATCCATTGGCTGCATGCATATTGCCTGGTTTTCGAATAACGGGTAATTTTATAATTTGCAGAATAGTATTAACAACTAATAAATTATACACCGTATATGCAGGTAATTTGGAACAATTTCTGTGTTTTTCGTCGCCAATAATGGGATGCCAGCCAGTCGCAAATAAAACATTTATTATGCAAAACAATTCTGAAAATATATGTTCGACGTGTCTTGAGTACTGCGGTTGTAATTATCCTAGTCGATCCTTATCCATCGTATGCAGCCATGTTGCACTATTATCTACGTGCTTTATTGTGATTTTGTTAGGTATGTAACAAGAAGAATGTTTCAATAGATCTGTAATTCAAAAATGAATAAAAACTTTTAAAAGTAGTTGAATCAAGTAAATTTAAATATCGCTTAAAAGAAGTCACTTGGCCTACTAAATAAAAATCTACTAAGAAGCAATTTTTTAAAATATATAACATAAGTTTTAAGTGAGAAAAACTAAAATATAACTAGATATATAAATTCAGATGTGTATATTTAGTTAGGTTCTCATAATGGTCAGAAATTATATATGCCCCAATTTTAAATGTATTGCATTATGGAAATATTTTAAATTATTAAATTATTAATCGGCTAGTTTTGATAAGAATCATTTTTGCAAGCTAGGAGAACGTGACGCGGTGTTTTCAGTGATAATGTGTACCCACTTATATAGTTTGTATGTACATAGTGTATAAAGTTCATAGAGCTTAATTAGCTTAATTTATAAACAGGGAAAGTCCCTCAATAACATATATATTTAGCTAACAGATACCTATTATCTATAACTGATCTATTTTCTTGCAGTCAAAAATTTCTCAATTTACAATATATAAGTGTTAATTTATGCACAGTTATATTGTTTCATGCCACGTGGTTTATGATCTTGATCTACCATTTGTCATCTATAAAGAATTTTCGCGACATTCTTATGGTTAATGATCCCAACGCAAATGCAATGAACATGTCCACACATTTCTAAGACCTTAAATGAACATTTATTTAATCAAATTTTCGCAACACACTGAGAAAATTTTTTCCTGGAATAACAGAGTAGCATTCATTTCATTTTCAAATTAGATAGTTTTCAAACAGACATGTTAAATTATTGCCATATGAATAAGAAGCACAGAGTAGGACCAAAAATACGTCGTCAACATCTTCATATGAAAGTTTTTGGCTCAGTGTACGCTGCGGCTTTTATGCTGCTGATGTGTAAGAATCGCAGCCTCATTCAAAATCCAATCAGCGCCTCCTTAATGCTGCGATATTTACCCATGCTCAAACATATATGTATTTATATATATATATATATAGAATGCCGCTGAACACTGATTGCACAGAATTAAATTCAACTATACAACTCGCGGTCGCACACAGTACGTAGTACTCGTAGTACAGATACAGATACAGATACAGATACAGATACAGATACAGATACAGATACAGATACAGATACAGATACAGATACAGATACAGATACAGATACAGATACAGATACAGATACAGATACAGATACAGATACAGATACAGATACAGATACAGATACAGATACAGATACAGATACAGATACAGATACAGATACAGACACAGATACAGATACAGATACAGATACAGATACAGATACAGATACAGATACAGATACAGATACAGATACAGATACAGATACAGATACAGATACAGATACAGATACAGATACAGATACAGATACAGATACAGATACAGATACAGATACAGATACAGATACAGATACAGATACAGATACAGATACAGATACAGATACAGATACAGATACAGATACAGATACAGATACAGATACAGATACAGATACAGATACAGATACAGATACAGATACAGATACAGATACAGATACAGATACAGATACAGATACAGATACAGATACAGATACAGATACAGATACAGATACAGATACAGATACAGATACAGATACAGATACAGATACAGATACAGATACAGATACAGATACAGATACAGATACAGATACAGATACAGATACAGATACAGATACAGATACAGATACAGATACAGATACAGATACAGATACAGATACAGATACAGATACAGATACAGATACAGATACAGATACAGATACAGATACAGATACAGATACAGATACAGATACAGATACAGATACAGATACAGATACAGATACAGATACAGATACAGATACAGATACAGATACAGATACAGATACAGATACAGATACAGATACAGATACAGATACAGATACAGATACAGATACAGATACAGATACAGATACAGATACAGATACAGATACAGATACAGATACAGATACAGATACAGATACAGATACAGATACAGATACAGATACAGATACAGATACAGATACAGATACAGATACAGATACAGATACAGATACAGATACAGATACAGATACAGATACAGATACAGATACAGATACAGATACAGATACAGATACAGATACAGATACAGATACAGATACAGATACAGATACAGATACAGATACAGATACAGATACAGATACAGATACAGATACAGATACAGATACAGATACAGATACAGATACAGATACAGATACAGATACAGATACAGATACAGATACAGATACAGATACAGATACAGATACAGATACAGATACAGATACAGATACAGATACAGATACAGATACAGATACAGATACAGATACAGATACAGATACAGATACAGATACAGATACAGATACAGATACAGATACAGATACAGATACAGATACAGATACAGATACAGATACAGATACAGATACAGATACAGATACAGATACAGATACAGATACAGATACAGATACAGATACAGATACAGATACAGATACAGATACAGATACAGATACAGATACAGATACAGATACAGATACAGATACAGATACAGATACAGATACAGATACAGATACAGATACAGATACAGATACAGATACAGATACAGATACAGATACAGATACACCGACACCAACTTAATTGAATGGGCCGTCAATCCTCGGGCGAGTTGAACGTGCTTATCTGACATTCTGTGAACGATATCAACAGCTCTTTCAGCGGATCTGCGTCCACATAGTCCACATACGCGTCTATATAATTCTTTCAATATATATGGCACATTGCTTTTGCATAGTTTTTTTTATTATTTTATCACACGACAGCCCACAAAACGGCTCCGTGTGTGTGCGTGCGTGTGTATTTTCACTGTTTGAATTAAATTGTATATAATTTTTATTAAAATTTCCGCTTAAACATTTCCCAGTGGTTGTGTGTGTGCCTGTGTGTGCATCTTCTGTTCGCCAGCTCTTTCTCTATGCTGCTCAATTTTATAAATTCTTAAGCACATTTTTCACACCGATCTGTTCAATTTTTTATTTCCAGAACATGTTTAGTTCCGGACATTTAAAAAATTCAATTATATTCGTACTATGCGCTATTTTTGGATGTGAGCTTTTAGAAATTATTGCGAATGTTCCATAGTATTTTCTCTAATGTTGGCTTTCATGATGAACGAAGGTCTTCGGATTAGTTTTATTAGTCTTTTCTGTGATTTTAATTATTTGCCGACTTAACTATTTTAATGCATTAAGCTTGTTAGATCGTGCCACTATTTCCTTACAAGTTAATAAAAAGATAAAAATATGAAGTATCATATTCATCATTTAAAAGAAATATTTAAAGATCAACATGCGACCTGATAAAGAACGTGCTCATAGGATGTATCCCAAAGAAAATAGATATATTCTGCCCTTTTAAAATGTTTATTGTTATCACCTTATCTTATATTATTATTATTATTATTATTATTATTATTATTATTATTATTATTATTATTATTATTATTATTATTATTATTATTATTATTATTATTATTATTATTATTATTATTATTATTATTATTATTATTATTATTATTATTATTATTATTATTATTATTATTATTATTATTATTATTATTATTATTCTAATTAATAGTTTTATAATTATTATTCCATAATTAATAATTTATAAATAAAATATGATATGTTCAATGCACAAATCCTAACTACTTACACCGTCTTCGTCTTTGGCGGCCCAAACCTTCGCGTAAGTAGAACCGCTCCTGTTCGTGATGCTGCACGCGAAGGTGCAGTGCTCTAGATAATTCCCAAAGTTCGCCTCGAAAAATCTTTTCAGTTTCAAAGGGTAAAGATGAATATGTATTTCAATTACAAAGTATATATTATATATTCTCATACATAACTATGTATGTATATGCTATATGGTTCTAGAGAATCTATAAACATTTATGGTTGCTGCTAAGTCTAACAATTCACTTGAAACGCCTAAAAAGGTACGCACACACTCACGCATGCACACACACATACACACACTTGCACACATGACACCGTTAATCGGTGTGAGAGCAAACAAAATCTGTGCGCAGGCGCTGAAGAAAGTGGCGAGCTGGCGATTAATGAGCGAAAATGCGACCTTCAGACTTGAGAGTAAATCACAACAACAACAACAACAACAACAAAAACAACAAGAGCAGCAGCAGCGAGCACCTGTGTATGAAAAAACAGGTATAAGAAAATGAGTTTTCCCAAAAAATCATAAACCGGCGCAAACCGGTGCGCAACTGCAACAGCCGAGCACGAAGAGAGCCAAGGAGCAAAAGCGTGATCTAGAGAGAGGGAGAGAGAGAGAGAGAAAGCAGTTATTGAATGTGCAACAGGTGAGCAGCAGCAAAGCTGAGCGCGAGAGAGCGTTAACAGCTGCGACTGCTAGAGTGCTCGCTCTCTCTCTCTCTCTCTCTCTCGCTTTTGCTGCCTGACTGTCTCTCGCCCGCCTGGCCCAAAAAAGATGAAGCTGAGGCTTAGTCCGAGTCGGCGACACGAGACAACGGTTCAGTTTCGGTTTTCAGTCCGCGAGACGGTCTCAAAGCCAACGGTCGCCCCAGTCGTTCCGTCGCATCGTCGCAGTTCGAAACGTCACAAGTTCGAATTACTATAACGGTCAACCAAGTGCGAATGAAAATATATTTTCTTTAAAAATGACGGACCAGCTAGCGCGTGTGCTTGGTGCTCAATAAAAAATAAAATAATATTTAAATCGATAGTAAATATGGTTGCATAGATTATTATTATCATATGCGCAACACGACAGGAGTGCAATTGAATTTTTTTCCACAGAGAGAATCAAAGGCTTACGGCAATTCGCAATCGAATAACTTTTAGTATATCTACAAAACATTTTTGGAAAAACCATCTTTTGGATACGATACGAACGAATATTACAACAACGACAAGGTAAGCTTCAAAGTCGAATTCATGGGTTTTTCATTTTCTGTAAAGATGCGGAAAATACGTAAATGCATTTTCTTGAGGGTTGTTTTTTTTTATTTTTTTCCTCTTTGTTTATTGCGCATCGGAATTTATTGGTCCAGTCAATTTGTGCGTAGTATCTGAATTTCAACATCCCAAAAAAAGGACAATGGGCTTAATGAGAGGGAAACACAAAGGAAATTTAGTTTGGATTTTTTCCTAACATAAAATATGTGTTTATAAAAAGTTGTGTACATCAACAAAACACCTGAAGAGTTTATATAAAATGTTGAATATTCCCTTTTGTTTATTGAAATTTCTAAATTTTCTTATATTTCTTATCCCACTTTAAAGATACGTATATATATATATATATATATATATATATATATATACTCAAATTGTTTTTGGAAGCTAAAATAATGCAGCGATCTGTAAAAATTCCGATATACTATATAAGTTTTTAGATGAAGAATTTGCTTGCTTTAAATGTTCTAAATTATAGGGTTTTTTAGCGTTTTTTTCCAGATTATTTTTTTTATGAACATCAGCGTAATATTTTGTATATAATATAACCACAAGTTATGCCCGAATCTTAAGTAATTTACAAAGCGTATTTCGCAATTTTATGGCCAATTTAAGCGGCAATTTTTTTCAATTATTTCTAATTTGTGGATTGCGTTTTTCGACAATCCACAGTTTAAGTCAAGTGGCTGCAAAGATTTCAACTGATTGTGGTTTTTATCAAGCTTTAATTAAATCAGACAATATAAAAATTGTCGAAAATAAAGCTAAGCTGCGGCGATCTTAAATGCATTTGTGGCACCTAAGCGAATTATTAATAACGAATGAATGACAGCCTAGAAGAGTAAATACGAAATGTAATTAAACTCCATGCAAGCGGCTGAGCTGGAGTCGAAGTGGAGCAAGAGCAGCTCTTACAAGCGTTTCTCTTGATACTCAAAACTTTGACAGTTAAATGAATGGCAATTAAATTGGAGCACAGCTACAATTACCAGAGCTGGGGCCATTTGAGCATTGCCAGAGCACAACACCTGAGACCGAGACTCAAAGCCAAACAAATTGGCAATCAAAAAAATGAAGCGGAAAGAGTCAAGAGAGCAACAGTCCAAATATCAATAGCAAACATTGGCCAATAGTCCAAAATCACACACAACAACAATTTTCATAAGTTTGCATTTTGAGCATACGACCCGAAATTATTACATAAAGTTGGAACTGCCATCCATCCCTCACCACGCCCCGCCCCGCACCACACCTCACGCAAGTCCGTTATCGGGGTCCACCAGTGGACGTCATTAACTGCACACACATACGCGAAACGTGTCTACATTCGTTATGATCCGGTTTGTCTCTTTTCTTGTGGACTATGTAATGTGAAAATATTTGTAACTCCCCCCGACCTGGTACACACAATGCGCCGATATAACCCACAAGGAGTTGGCGGTCGCAGTCAAAGTTAATGAAAGTTCAAGTGAAATTGCCGAAAGAAAAACCGGTTCGTTTAGGTCAAGTTTTAATCAATTTCAATATATGAGCAAATCCAATTATGTTCAAGGCCGACATCGATGTGGAAATCGAAATGGAAAGGCTAAATGTACGTTAAGATAGCGGTAAATGCAATTCATTAAGTACAGCTGTGCGCGTGTCAAGTTAGTCAAGCTTAATATTATTTGCTAATTTTTAAAAATTAGCTTTGGTATATTTAAATCTTTTCTGAAATACGCTTCTTTTATGAGGATTTGCGATATTATCTTAAACGATCAGATGTTAATTTAGGTTAGGATTAGGCTAAGGTTTGCTTAGGTATGGTTATGGTCCCTATACAAGGTTAGGCTAGAATAGCTTGGTATAGCTCAGATCAGATATCTTTATTTTCGGTAAGCAAAGCTTGGTTATGTTTCTAATACAAGAATATCCTGACATTCTAGCTTTGGTGAGCCGCAGCAACATCTCTTTTTTATGATTTATAGTATTCTTCATTTTTATCCAACAAATTTTGATCAGTAGTTTCCAAAAATTCTTAAAAATAAACAATAAATCACGCTGTACTGGATTGAAACTAGTTCCTAATGCACCTGTTGAACCAAAACACTATTTAAGAGATAGTTACAGCAACTTGCCTGGTGTTCAGGAATAAAATAAATATTTTTGGAACTTGAAGAATATTGACAAATAGTTTTGTGTAGAATGCTTTGAAGTAGTTAAGAAAATATAGAAGTTAAGCTTTTGAAAAAGGGCTTTGTGAACTAAATAAAATTTAATGTTACATAAATGAAGAGTAGCAATCGTTCATTATTTGTATCTTATATATATCACTAGAATATGCTAAAAAAAACATTATACCCTTTTTACCCATTTTTAATGGGTTCAGGGTATAAAAAGGAAATCAAAAGATAATTTTTTATATAATGTTTTGAAGAAACAAAAATTATAGAAGCTAAAATTTAAGGAAAGGCTTACATAATCTTAAGTATGTGAAGACATTAAACATTGGTAATTAATTATTTGGATTCCATAAAATATGTATATACATATATTTTTATACATTTATTGTAGGTAGAGATAAAATCTCTCTACCATATATCATGTCATATATCACAAGAATATGCTTTAAAATAGATAACTTTTTAAAAATCTCCGACATACTTAAAGATTTCTCTACCCACAATTAACTATTTAAGTGCCCCCAGCGATATGTGAGGCATATCAATTCATATCTGGCTAGCTTTTCGCCCAACTAACATAATCGTAAGCACAAACAACTTGCACTTTCTTTAGTCTCTCAAGCTAATTAGGCTTATCACATGACTTTTACTCTTAAGTTCACTTTCCGTTGAAAATGAGCAATTATGACAGCGTTTTCCAGCCAGCATCGACTTAATATATCATCAAATTGACAGACCAATAATAATAATAAAAAAAAGAAGTAGAAAAAAATCACATGTACAAATGCTAAAAAAAAACTAAAGAAAAAAAGAAAGAAAGAAAGAAAACAAACCGAAACCAAAGCCGCAGCCAAAGCAGAAACCGTCGAGAAATGTGGTAGAAAAAAAAAGAAAGTGCAATGCTGATCGTCTACTACATGCATGCTACCCGACAACATATATGTATGTATAATATGTAGTATACATATAATAGCTGGAGAGTTAACGGCACTTTAGAGCACTCTACAATGAAAGATTTTCTGGTACAGCGCGGAGGGCAGCCCCACAACATTCGAGCCGTCTCGCTGGCCACTTTTCCTTTCAAGAGATTGCACATGAGATGCCCCATCGATTGCCTTTGGAACCACTTGAGGCGCACTTGGAACTACTTGGTCGCCTAGAGGTGTTTGCTATATTTAACACCCTGATGGGCTTGTCAGTGTGCTGAGTGTCATTAGCTTTGGGTCACTTGGCAGTGGAACTGGAACTACGCTCGGACTCTACGCTAATTTGTGGCGTCCGCTTTATGTTAAACGTTTAGGCAAACATTTCAGCTAGCTATTTGCTTAGCAGTTTCTGTTAATTTCTATGTTAATGTTGATGTTTCAATGGCAATTTGTTAAATTTCGCAAATTATTAAGCACTCAAGTCGCGTGCCGAAAGTTGTTAATTGCCAGCTGTGAATGGAATTCATTCTCTTTTAGTGACGTCTTCAGCCAAAGTTTTTTCCATTTAACTGAAACCAGTTTTTATAATTTTATCAAATGCTACCTGAGAGCGCTGTGAAAAATGCCGAGAACTCGTCTCTAGGGTGGAAATCATAAGAGGATCGGTCAGGAATCGAAATCAATTAAATGGCTACGCGAACTACCTGCTGTGCACCGTGGCCCGTGATTGATGTGAACCCAACTGTACTAATTTTTAAGAATCGTTGGGAATTGAGTGACCAGGATGAAGTTATTTGTAATCTTGACGGAAAGAGTAACCTGAGCTCTTGAAATCAATTCGGGACGAGCGCTTGCTTTACAATTAGAGAGACGAAGCGTGTGAACCGGGGCTGGGAAAATAATTATATTTTAGTCTTGCCGATGAAAGGCGATGAAAGGAACCAAGAGCCTAGATAGACAAACTGACCGTCCTAAAAAAATGATAAAGCAATAATAGCTTTTTATAAGAAATACGTTTAATAGCAAAAGTTAGATTCGGGGAGGATAGGTTGAGGTTAGGTTGAGGTTAGGTTGGAGTTGCCAGACTCTGATTAAGATATGAATCAGAGTTGCCAGACTCGGATTCTAATCGCGTTAGATGTGAGAATGAATTGGAGCCAAAGTGGCACAGCTACTTTGAGGCAAAGTCAAACAAGAATGAAAGTAGTCTTTCTTAAGATCTTTCTTCTGATACCTACAGCGAAGCTTTAATCGGACTTTAGACTACAACTTATATCCTGTAGGGCAATAGAGTTTCAATATCAATGCAAAAGATTATATTGGGGCAAGAATATATATGAAAGTATTTAAATGAAAGGATATATATAGAATGTATATAGAATATATATAAATGAAACCCAGCGCCAAAAGAAAAAGTAGTCGAATGATTTATAAATATACGTATAAACCATGTTTACTCAAAAGAAGTACATAAAGTACAAATGTCAAACATTCTTCAAATAATACAAAATAAAGTAGCTAAATCACGATTGGATTACTTTTATATCAGCACGTTGCAATCAGCGGAAATGTTCGACTGTTGGTAAATTAATCGCTCAAGTTAGTTTTAAGCTGCATTTAACGATCCTATCAGTTCAGTTTAGGCTATTTAAGCATCTCGCGACTGCTCCACTGACCCAAAGACGTGAAATCAAATTCGAAAAAAAAAGGAAAAAAAATAATATAGGCGTCTTATAAAACCGTTTTAAAACCAGCCAACAAATTGTTAATTAATGCAAAGGTAAACAAATCAAAAATCGAGCATAAAAAGATGTCTTATTTAAATTGAAAGCAGTTGCAGAGAGCGAACTTAGCTAAGTGTGTGTGTGTG